GCTGAGGCCTCCAGCCCTGGATCCCACTTTGAGAACTGTTGAGTTTCTGGTGGGGAGGGACCCCACAGACACCTTCAGCCTCTCCATGGGACTGGGGTCCAGAGGGGACCTCTTTGTATCTTTTTTTTTTTTTTTGGAAGATTAGCCCTGAGCTAACATCTTCCACCAATCCTCCTCTTTTTTGCTGAGGAAGCCTGGCCCTCAGCTAACATCTGTGCCCATCTTCCTCTACTTTATATGTGGGACACCTACCACAGCATGGCTTGCCAAGCCGTGCCGTGTCCACACCCAGGATCCAAACTAGTGAACACCGGGCCGCCGAAGCGGAACGTGCACACTTAACCTCTGCGCCACCGGGCCAGCCCCACCTCTTTGTATCTTGACTACGATGTTCCTCTGTTTGAGTTTTCCTAAAGCCATGTGCTGGTACACTCTGGGATTTTAACGCCCTCCACGCCCCTTTCCAACAGGGTCTTTGGTCTCCATCACGCTGCGTTAGTCAGCCCTTGTCCGTGGGTGTGAGATGTTGGAGAAGCTGTGGCTGCCACTCAGCAAGTGTGGCAGTGGTTGAAAGTACAGCTCCGGAGTCAGGCGGGCCTGGATTTGGGTCCCGCCTCTGCCCTCTCTTAACCATGCAGCCATGACAGGTGAGATGACCTGTGTCCACCTTGGCCTCCTGCTCTGAAAAGGAGTCAGCTCCTTGAAGTGTGGAGGGTAATCAGGTAACGTGTCTGCATTGGTCAGGGCTCTCCAGAGGGACAGAGCCAATGGGATGTGTGTATCTATCTATCTAATCTCTCGCCATCTCTCTGTCTGTCTGCAGTATGTGTGGAGAGGGAATTACCATAAGCAATTGGCTCACACAGTTATGGAGGCTGAGAAGTCCTAAGATCTGTAGTGGTCAAGCTGGAGACCCAGGAGAGCTGATGGCCTAGCTCTGGTCCGAGTCAGAAGGCCCGAGACTCAGGAGCCCTCTGGTGTAAATTCCTGTCCGAAAGCTGGCAGGAAGAGACCCAGGAAGAACCCTTGCCTCAGTCCAAGTCTGGAGACAGGGAAAGACTGAAGTCCCCACTCAGCAGTCAGACTGGAGGGTTTCCCTCTTCCTTGGCCTTTTGTTCTAGCCAGGCCTTCAACTGATTGGATGAGGCCCACCCACATTGGGGAGCGCAACCTGCTTTACTCAGTCTATCAATTCAAATGCTAATCTCATCCTGAAACACCCTCACAGACACATCCAGAATCATGCTTGGCAAATGTCTGGGCCCCCGTGCCCAGTCAAGTTTCTGGGGTCAAGTTTCTGCCGGTCAAGGGCCTGGGGCAATGTCCTCACCTGCTCCATGAAAGTGGCCGCTCCCTTTATTATGTGTTTCCTAGGCAGCTGCAGAGTCGAACCAGGAGGAGGAGCCCCAGAGCAGGCCCACTGTGCATGTGAAGAATGGAGAGGACCGTCCCAGCGTCTGTGTGAGCCACGCCGTGCTCCCCTCTGTGGGACCTGGGGCCAGGGGCCCTCACAGGTGGCCCAGGGCAGGCGGGATTGATGGCAGTGCTGGCGCCATCTGTAGGGTTGACAGAAAGGCCCGGTGGAGAGCTAGGAGGGGAGGAGCCTAAGCCGGGTCTGGGCTAGGCCGTCTGTTTCTTGATATTTCCCCCCAGATGAGAGCTTTAGGGAAAAGGACCTGGGCCCAGACACGTTTATTGTTGCCATTTGCTTCTGTTTGGTTTGAAAATGTTTGGCTGCAGTTTCCCAGGCAGACAGAGCTGCAGTGGAAGGGTTCTGTCTTTCAGCCCACTCCTCGTTGTCCTGTGAGCTGACAACACGTGTATTTGTTTGTGTTCTTCTCGTGGCGGTGGCGGGGGGGGGGGGGGGGAGATCTGGGGCACAGGAAGTAGGTGGCGTTGTTTCGGGGCAGAGAGCAAAGGTCGGGTTGTAGGGTCTCACCCCTCTGTGAGTGCCAGTGTCTGTGGAATCGGGCTCTCCTACGTGGCCTTCCACCCGGCCCTGCTGTGGGGCACCCGGGTTTACGTGCTTACGTGCGTTTCTGGACACCCAGTGAGGCCTCGGGCCGGAGCTTTCCCATGGGCTCGCCATCTGCAGTTGGCTCCAATCCAAGCGGGCTTTTCCGACCTCGGGCAGGTGCCGGTCTCCCCTGCCAACAGCTCTATGTTTCCCAACTGTCGAGATCCCAGTGGGAGTCCCCAGCGCAAACACAGACGGCGGGGCCTGCTACTTGGCTCTATTTGGACGTCAGGCAGAGTGTTCTTTCCCAATCTGTGTGAGCGACTCCGTTGGCACACATCCCTGATGGGTGTCCCCGGGGGAGTCCTGCTTCCACAGCTCTGGACGAGGTTCCGACCTCTTCATGCCTATTGGGCTGGGCACCCACACAAAATTGCCCTGCAGGGTCGTGGCCCCTCCAGAGGCCCTCCTGTCCCCTTGTCCCTCCTCTGCTCGTTTTGGCACTGTGAAGCGAACCCAATTCAGGGCTTTGTTATCAACTTATTCCTGTACTCGATCAGCCATCCTCAGCAGAGCGCAATATAAAAACCGGTCCTCCAGAAGGAAGGGCATGGCTGAGGTCCTTGGTCCCCACCTTCATTGGGACATCTCCCCATCACAGGGCAATTGTGTGTCTGTGGGACTCTGTCCCGCTGGGCTTTGAGCTGGTTGGGGACCCTCCCACCTGCACCGCCATGTGCCACGTGCTCCCTCCGTGTCCTGTGTCTCTCCCATCACACAATGCCCTCCTCCCTCGTGAACTGTGACCTCCATGAGAAGCAGCACCGGGCCCGGTGTTCCTGGCTTGCTCACTGTGGAATCCTCAGTGTGGCCCCCAGTAAACACTCAGCCTGGCCCCTAATACACATTCAAATAAATATTTGCCACATGAACAAACAAATCCGTGAACAGATGTGCTCACGGAGGCCAAAGACCACATCTTATGCGTTCTGCAGCCTGAAGGTCTGCCATAGTTCCTGGAAACAGTGGAAGCAGAGGGCTCCAAGGGTCCCCAAGACCAGCCACATGCTCAGTGATTCACGAGACTTCTCAGGACTCAGCACTTAGTGGTACCATGGCTGAGATTTATTGCAGCGATGTAATCAGGATACACAGCTGAATCTGGAAGGGCGGAAGACACAGGTGGAGTGTGGAGGGGTCCATGAGCGGATCTCCTGTGCTCTCCCTCCCATGGAGGCCACACAGAGCACACTCTCCCCTAGCAGCGAAAATGCAGCCATGTGTGTGCAGCATTTCCGCCAGGGAAGGCCATTGAGACTCAGAGTTCAAGGGTTTTATTGGGGCTACTTGTCTGGGTACCTCCTGACCTCTCCAATGCCAGGCGCTCAGAAGGAAGCAGGTGTTTGCCATAAATCATGTCATTTGCACAAACAGTCTAGTGCAGCCCATGAGCACAACCTTATCATACAGGGAACGTTTCAAAAACCAGGTTTCCAGACACTAATCAAGGGCCAACATGGCCAGCAGGCCCTTCTACAGACAGCACCCTCAGCTCCTGCCCACAGAGCAGCTCTTGAATGAGGAGTCTGGGGGGGTCTGTCCTAGCACTGGGCCAGGGCCTCGGTGGGGCCCTGAGGAGCCCCCTGGGGCCATGAGACCGAGGTCAGACCCACGAGATGATCTCACGCTCGCCTGTCCTATGTCTTGCGTGGCTCCAGCTTGGATGAGCTCTTGGGCTGACTGTGGGGACAGTCAGGAAATTGGGCCAGTGTCCAGAAAAGGGAGGGGCAGAGGACCCTGTATCCCCCAGAGGAGATGGGACTCAGGGTGGGGCAGAAGGGTCTTGGGAAGCCTGGAAGCAGAAGCATGCCTCTGTGCATGTGTGTGTGTACACGTGTGTGTGTGGGTAAGTGTGCATGTGGAGTGTCGTGGTCATGGTTGAGGGCAGAAAGTGCCCAATTCTGGAGACAGTGGCAGTGAACGAGTGTGTCAGCAAAGTGGGGCAGGACTGACTCAGGAGAGGGGATCAAGTGACCGCGTTGCCCAGATGTGGTTGTCTTGTCCCTTCAGTTGGGGGAGTAACTTTTTAGAATTCTGCACGAGATTTTCAACCAGACTTCTGTTCTCTATTTGCATGTGTGCACTTCCTGGTAGCCCCAGGCTATTGTCATCTTAATTCAGAGAGGCAGGGGCATGGGGTGGGGAGGGGCCCTGGCTCCGGTCAGCCTAGAAGTGTGACCTCAGGAGATGCCTTTTCGGGGGCTTCAGCTTTTCCATCTGCAAAATGGGAGGGCTAGACTGGAGGGTCCCTTCATCTCTAACATTCTAGAAATGGATGATTTGACGAGAACCTGTTTAGAAATGAATCGGGTTAAAGGCACAAAGAACAGGGTGTTGCTTCAATTGCCGCAGAGCTTTCAGCTGTGACACATGACGTCTTGGGGGGCGTCAGTGTGCGTGTGTGGTTCTACTGCCTGTGGTTTGCGTGCTATTGGGGGAATCTCCTCTTACTTAGAAGTTAGGTAAAAACCGAAACTGAAAAACAAAACAAAAACTTCTACAGCCTCTCCTAGATTAGACAGCTGTGGGATTTCCAGGGGTTCCGCCCCAGACCCTCCTCCCTACCTCTCCCAATCCCCTCCCCCTGCCCCCCTACTCTCACTGCTGCCTCCCCAGGGGCTGATCTGGGGCCCACCCTCCTTGTTACAAGGAACCTGAGCGGCTCCTTCACACCTTGTTCCAAACATTAAAAATGGGGTAGAAACATGGGCATCTGCACATGGCTTCCCGAGGCCCCGGGACGCATCTTTGCAGCCTCTCCATCTCCTGGGAAGAGCCCTTTGCGTCTCCCGGGCTGGAGGCTCCGGATGTGATGCTGGCTGGTGCTGGAGCCAGCGTAATCTGACCGTCCACGTGCAGAGCCCATGGTGGTCAGCACCCTCGCCTGTGGGGTTCCTCCAGACCGTCTCCACCGTGAGGGTTGCCCACGAGTGCCTCAGATGTCTCACACTAAAATCAAGCTTTTGTCTTCACTCTTTTTCAGAGAGAAAACAGCAGGTCGATGAAGCCAGTCTTAAGTGTGATCTCCATTCCTGCCCAGCGCTCTGGCGCAAGCCCAGGAGAGTCTCCCGGCTCTGGGATCCAGAATGACTCCCAGTGGGAGGTGGTTCTTCTGTTGACCTGGCTCCCTTGGTGGTCTGAGGTTGTCACCCTCAGGGCTGAATTTGTGAGCAGTGTGTGTGCACGAGTCTGTGTGTGTGTGTGCACACATGCTCAACTGGAGACCCACAGGATTTCAGCTCTTCTGAGGCACCTAGAAGCTGACACGCTGGGTAGTGAGACGAGCAGCCGGGTGAGAATGTAACAAACGTTGTATGAAAGAAATCGACTTTGTTACCGACTGGCTTGAGGGAGGGACGACTGTGTTGTCTGGAAGTGTTAGGTTCATTTTATATTTGTGTCGGGAGAAATGTTCAGCTCTGGTGCAGACACTGGTGGCAGCCAGACCACGCTTGACTCCCTGGGTTGAAATTGAGAGAAAACTTATAGGATCAGACAGATACGCTTTTCTTTGGTGGGTGCAGGGTTTCTGCTGGGCACTGCGCTATTAATCAGCCCCTGTCCAAGAAGAACTCATCCTTTCTGTTGTCATTAAAGGTCAGTTACTTATTCACGTGGACAAGACTTGGGGCCAGTTGACTGCTTCCCTAGCTGAGGCTGATGTCAGGGTTTTCATCTCAAGTCTGAAATCTTGTTTAACCTTCCATCCATAGTTTTGTCTCGTTCTGATGACTGCATCCTCTTGGCACATTTGTTGTACTCAGAACCGAATGGCAAACAATAGTCTTGCATTAATAAAAGCCACCACGGAGCTCTGGGTGAGCTTCCAGTTTGAAGGCTGATAGACTGTAGAGGCGTCAGATGCACTCCGTAACCCCGAGCACTGCCCGTGGGCCTGTGCTCCGCTGGGGAGCTCCTGCCCCGACGTACACCTGCACAGGACAGCAGCTGTGCGAGTTGGCCGTTTAGGATCTAAAGATGTGCATTTAAAACCCAGCTTCACATTCCTTGTGTTTCTTTGGACCATTGTGCTTTTGCATGTTGTACCTATGTCTGGAGTAGTTCATATGCCCTCACCACACGCTCCAGACACTCAATCAGAGCTTTGTAATTAAAAAAAGCAAACTCTACAGGAAAGAGAAGCATGTAAATATGTACCAGTGCTTATGAAGCTGTTATGGTTTATATGTAAAGAGTATTTACACAGCAAAGGGAAAATGGCTCAGTGAATGTTTTAAATAACTCTCCATGTACCAGACTGTATTTGTGTCCCTGCCGTGTTCCTGTAAGCACACGGTTATTTGCAATGTCAATTCTTTAGACATCATTGTTTTTATTCGTGTATCACAGGCACCTTCTTTTCATCTGATTACAAAATCCAGCATTTCAGGACTGGGCTTTTGCCAAAACAAAAGGCAAGTATGAACATTTGTCACTGATTCCTGCTGGTCCAGTGAGCATCTGAAGAATTCAAGTGTTTTAAAATAATGTGCATTTTCTAAACCCTGGAGTATACCTTTTATTCAAAGTCAGTGGGCTGGATTGAATTTCCTGCAAGTATTTGTGCTCTCTGACTGCTAGCTCTTCAAGCAGGGGAGTCTGTGTGTAAATGCATCGCTTCCTGATGAAGCAAGAGGAGGGACCCGAAACGTTGCCAGAAATGTTTACTGTGTAACCAAGACATGGACATGTGTACAGCGTCACAATTATCAACATAATCACACTGTGTGCACAATACCCAGAACGACATAAATATTTTCATTTGTCTAAGCTAGAAATCCATGTAAATTGCAGCTTCCTTGTTGACACAGATGTGTGTGAACCTCGTTTCCACAGTCTGGCGTGCCAGTTGCTGAAGGACTGTGGCTCTTCCTTAAAGTGATCTGCCCTCGAAGAACCCATAGCCTTCAGGACCCGCTGCGTGCCTTACACGGCTGGTGAACACCAACGCTGGAAGTCAGGAAGGAGGGAGTGCCGGGAGTGGGTTTGGAGGCATGTGACATTAATCTACATTTCCCATCACCCCATCATTGAAACCTTAAGATGGCTTGTGTGTTTTAACACAGTAATGGGTTTATGTTTAGGCTCAGGAAAATCAAGGTGTAAATATATGTATCAAATCATATATTTGTTTACTGTATATTTTTAAAAGCTTTACTGTAAATTTATGCAAAAACAAATTAGGACTCGTTTTTCTCCTGGCACCATGCCGGGGCAGCATTTGTGTTCTCTGAAGCAATTCCTTAATAACCACATTCTAAACGTGATATTCTGTTCAGTGCTAAACAGTATTTACAGGCCTAAAATAGGTTTGTATGGTGATCAACTACAAAATTTTACACATATTTTTGTATTGTGATTCCTATGATATATACCAGAGAATTTTTACTTATTTGTAAATTACTGTACAGTTTTAATAAAAAAAAGATTGTTTTAAATCTTAGAATATCAAAGTTCCCCTCCTCACAAGGCATTAAAGTTTGGACTTATCGGCTATGTTAGCCACTTCTGTGTTCCGTGTCCATTCTCTGAGCAACGATGCCTCCTTCCACACAGCAAGGGAACCTGGGCCTTCTGCATGCTGGGGAGGGGGAGCCAGGCGTCTTACCTGCAGCCTCACCTTAAATCATGGCAAATCACTTGGAGGACAGGCTCTGAAATCAGAGGTACCTCTGAAATCAGCACCTCTGGGAGGTCAGCCACCAGGGAGGCCCCCTCCTGTAGCTGTTTTATCAAATGAGAACCGGAAGAGAAAATTCAAATAAGTTAAAAGAGTGAAAGAATTTTTAGGAACGAGTAAGAACACTTGGCAACAGATTTCAGCAGAGGACGACCCCACACATGTGAGTAAAGGTCACTTTATTGATTATTTTGGGGGAGGGCAAACCAGAGGTGGGACGAGGGAATGGAAAAGTTGCTGATTCATCTCTGCAGAAGGATGGGCGCCAGTACTCCGGGGTCCCCGCAGTGACTCTCATTATCCCAGCTTATGCTTTGAAATGCTGGCTGCGCTAACAGAATGAAAAGGATGTCTTTTCCTTAAAGATCGTCTCTGCAGGGCGCGACGGAGTGACTAGCCTCGCCCTGTGACCCTCTGCTGTGTCTCACCCAAAAACCTTGAACTCGGCTTTAAGGGAGATAGGGAGCAGCTCGCGTGGGCGCTTCCCTGTCCCCCTACTCCGACCTTCGCGACTCGCCAGACGATTTGGAGTCAGAGGCTCCTTGCCCTGTGTGGGAGCTCCCACGGGGCCCAGGAATGTGGCTGGCCTTCCGATGGACTGTGGTTTCCTCAGTGCGTGCTCCCTGCCCGCCCGCCCTTGCTGCGGGTTGAGCGGGAGGTCGGGACCCACGCGCGCCCCGAGGGCGAACAGCGGCCCTTCGCTGGGACGGAGCGCGCGCCCCGGCCAGGCTGGCGCGTTCAGCACTCGAGGCGTGGACAGCGCCAGCACCGCGCGGGCGCCTGCGGGCTGGGGGCGGGCTGGGGGACAGGGGCGGGGAGAGCGCGAGCCCCTGGCCGCCCCGTCCACACGCGGCGCGCAGACCCGCGCAGGAGGCTCCGCGACCGGCCGCCCCTCGCCCGCTCCCGCCATGGCCGCATGCCGGCCGCAGGAGCCCGCGAAGCCTCTGCCCGCGTGCCTGGGGACGCTGGGCACAGGCAGCCCCCGGGCCCGACCCAAGCTCGGGGGCGTCTTCCGCTGCGTGGAGGACGCCTTTGAGAACAAGACGCTGCAGTTGGACGCGCTGGGCGGCGGTCGCCGGGACCCTCGGGCCAGAGAGCCCTACAGTGGGCTCCGCGGCGACCCGGAGCGACCCGGTGAGCCAGACGAAGACGGCCCAGAGGCCGCAGCAAGTCTCCAAGAGCACCCTGGAGCGCCCCAGGCCCGCGGCCCACAGCAGGTAGTGGCCGCAGGGCAGAGGCTGCGGAATGGCGGGGCCTGTGCGAGGGGGACGCGGGCCCTGGACTCCTCGAGAGACGCCGCACACCCACGCCGGAGGCCGCAGGGCGGTGGGCCAGGGGTTCGTCCTCTTCCTAAACCCCCCAGCTCCTCCGAGGGGCGGGGCGCGAGGGCTCCCAGCGGGGCCTCCTCCTCCCTGACTGGCGAGTCTGGGCCCGGGACTTTTCTTTCCCGCGCGCCCGCCTCAGCCCCGCCCGGCGGTCTGGGCCTCTCCAGCCCTGGTTCTGGGTCCCTGGTCCGTCCCGGGTTCTGGAGAGCTGTCTCTCTGTGTGTCTCTCTTGGTCTCGCTGTCTCTTTCTCTCTTTGTCTGCCAACTTGTCCCCTCCCTCCTGCCCCTAAGCTTCGCGAGCTGACCGTGCTTGGAGCAGCCTTGCGAGGAGGTGCCTCCACCGCCCAATCCCAGGGTCAGTGGACGGACCGGTGCTCCCGGCCCGGCCCTGGCCATCCGCTAAGGAGCCCGGCTTTGGCCAGAGACACCTTCTCACACAGCGTCCAGCTCCTGGAGTGCCTGGAACTGGATTTGAGATTGGGTTCAATCCCCGTTGCCTTGGATTCTCGGGTCACCGGGAAGCGGGCCCTCGGCTGGGCAGGGGCGAAGGCGGAGCCTGGCAGGACATTGCTGGATCTCTCCCACCCTCGTTCCTGAGGTGCAAACTCCACATACACACTGGCCGGGACCTGTCGCAACGCTCTCCTCCCCTCCTCCACCCTGCACGCGTCTGCCGGTCCCCGCGGGACCCGGGGCGCAGGGATCCCGGCCTGTGGCTGCCGCAGGTGTCTGGGGCCGGGGAGTTGGGGGTGGTGGTCGTGGTGTTGAGCACGGCCGGGACAGGGCTCGAAGGCAAAGGAGCAGCTGCGGGCCGGGGGCGGGGCCTGGCCGGGGCGGGGCCTGGCCGGGGGCGGGACCGGGAACCCGAGCCGCGCGGGGCCGAGCGCGCTCGCACTTGGACGCCCGGCGCCCCCACGTACCCGCCCGGGCTCCGCATTTCCCCGCCCGAGTCCTCCAGGCCGCCCCGCCTGAGCCAGGCCGCGTGGGCCGACCGAGGCGGCGGCGCCGGCCGGAGGAGCAAGATGTCCTTCCAGGGCAAGAAGAACATCCCCCGCATGACGGTGAGCCCGACTCCCGGCCCCCGCTCCGCCCTGCGCCTGCCGCCCGGGGCGGGGCCTAGCCTCAGGGTCCCGGCGTGGAGCCTCCTGGCCCCGCGCCGGGTCCCCTGCCCTCCAGGTCCAGTCCCCACGCGTGCCCCTGTCCCGGCGCTGGCCCTTCTCGCCTGGCTCCTTCCCGCGCCGCCGGGGTCCCCCGCTAGCGCCGCGCCGGACCCCCTTACGGAGCCGGACGCACAGGTCCAGGCCCTGCCGGCTTCTCCCGGACCTCCTCTGCGCCCAGGAGGGCTCGGGACCGGGGAAGGCCTGCTCCCCAGGGCGCAGAAGTCCCTCCCTCCCCGCGGTGGCCGGGCCGGTGGGCCGGGATCCGGTCTCGGAGCTCTGCCTCGGGGTCGGCGGGCGGATACGGCCCTTTGTTGGTACCCCTGGCCCGGCCTCGAGGCCGGAGATGCTGTTCCCCGTGCGGCGCCCGCCCCCTGGACCGCGCCACCGCCGCGCCCGGAGCTCTTTGTCCGAAACAATGCGACTCAGCTCCGGCCCCTAGGCCTGGAGCCCTGGCGACCCGAACCCCTCCATGGAGCCGGAGTTCGGAGACCCCGGGGGAGTTGAGCGCTCAGTAGTCGCCGCTGACCCCGGCAGCCCCGCGGTCTGGAGGACATCCTCCGGCACCCACACGCACCGGTGCTGGAGGTTCGACGTCCACCCCCGGCTGCCAGGAAACAAAGCCGCCCCCTCCAGGACGCCAGCAGCCCGGCGGAGGGGGGTGGGGGTGGCGGGAGGCGCCTGGGCGCCAGCTGGACGGTGGCGGGGGAGCCCTCGGGTCTCAGACTCAACTCTGGGCTTGGCCTCAGCGGGAGGGCGGCGGGTCCGTGGCTTTGCAGGTTCATTTCCTGAGATATTCAGGGATGAAGGAGCACCTCCTTGAGCATCCTGCCTTGAGACTGGCCCAGGGTCCTGTCTGATGCAGGAAGCACGCTGGTGGCTGGCAGGGAGGTGGGGGTGGGATGGGATGACCCAATCCCTGGGTGGTCAGAGGAAAGGTGGCTGGTTTAGGGAAACTTCCACCCTTATCCTGATGAGTGTTGGGCCCCACCCAGTTACCTTTTCCTCTTGGTTCCAAAGCCAGGAAGGTACCCAGAGTCTGAGTCCAGGGGCCTGAAAACCATGGGGCGGGAGAGCTGGGGACCCAGACCACCGGTCTCTTCCCTCACAAGCCTTCCTCTTCCTGCTGGTTTTCCTTGGGCTTGTTTGACAATGAGTTGGTCCACGGGGGGGGGGGGGGGGGCTTGTTGAAGGGGGAACACTGCAGGGAAGGCAGGCAGGGTCTAAACACTGGCTGCAGAAGCTGGGCAAAGTGGGTAGTTATGATGTGACCAATCAGGGCTGGGTCTAGGGCCGGGGGGGCCTGGGCAGTGAGGCTCTGCAGGGCTCGGTGGGAAGGCCCCAGCGGCTGGGAATGGGCGATACTGTAGCCCAGGAGTCAGCAGGCTTCCCCAGTGGGCTGGATATTCTCAGCTGTGTGGGCCGTACTGTTTCTGTCCCTACTCAGCCCTGCCGGGAGCGCAGTCACAGACAGTGTGGGAACGGACGGGTGTGCCTGTGTCCCAGCACAGCTTTAGCCGTGGATGTTGAAACGTGCATTTCATATAATTTTCATGAGTTGTGAAATACTCTTTTTTTGGTGTTTTTCAACCAACACAACATGTAGAAGCCCTCTTAGCTCCAGGATATGTAAGGCCAGTGGGGGGCTGTGCGGGCTGTGGCAGTTTGCTAACCCTTCTGTAGACTATGGGCGGTGGTTTTACCTTTAATCAGCAGAATCCTAAGAATTCAGTCCAAATGGTTAGATGTCGGTAAGAATAGAGAATAACGTAATAAGGCTCATAAATAATGAATCATTTATCATCTCAGTAGCTTCTTGGAGTTCTTCTAATTGCAGTGCACAATTTGATTCTCTTGGCATCAGGCTGATAGTGTGTAAACAGCCAGAAACCCGGGCTGGAGTCCTGGCCTGGCCTCTGGGTGGACACCTGGGAGCCCCAGGCACGGTCCCCAGGAAACGCAGCTGTCATTCCCGCCTGGGCACGTCATAGGGAGGGCTGAGGCTCGGACAGGATGATGGAGGAGATGGCTGTAAAGCCGTGTCCTGTCGACATCGTTCTGACTCTGCCTTTCTGCTCCCTTCTTGTGTTTCTCTCCATTATTCTCCAAGGTCAGCTCGTCACCCCTGACAGCCACGTAAAGTTCCATTACATGACACCCCCATTTCTGCCTAACTCCTCTCCTTCTGGACCATTTGGTGGGATTCTTAGAAGTGGTTTTATGTCTGCGAGCATTGGATCAACCCCCACCTGGTGCCACAGATCAGTGCTGTGGGGGGTGGCCCACCAAGAGCTATCCTTGCTCCCTGACCCTTTGTTCACCTGTTGGTGTCCTCCAGGCAGCACCAGAACCTGGGTCACCCCGATGTCTTCCTGGCCCTTCACCCCCATGGCCTCTCCATCAGTAGCTCCTACCCACGTGACTCCCAGCCCCTCTGGAGTCCATTTCTCATCAGGCCACATAATCCTGGCCCAAGGCCCCTCATCTCACCTGGTCAACCTCAGAAACTGCCCAAGAGATGGCCATGTTTCCATCATTGAACACCATGGTCTACCTTCTACACAGAGCCAACATGATGTCTTTTAAACACCCATCAGACCATGCTTAAACCCCTGCTTAAGGCCCCCCACTGGCAGCCCACGGACTCCCCAAGCCCGGCATGCCTTGCCCTCCCACCCCTGGCTTTGGTCCTCTCACCCCTCCCCTCAGAAGGTTCCAGCCCCAGTTTCCTCTCATGTCCTAAATCAACTCAAGCTCTTTCCTGCCTCAGAGCCTTTGCACTGGCAGCTTCCTGGCCTGGAACGCTGCCCTGGCTGTGTCACCTCCAGCATCAGCCTCTCAGAAAGGCCCTTCTCCATCCCTGAAGCTGCCACACCTCCTTCCCTGTCATCGGTCATGTTACCCTCCTTGTGGTCTTGAGTTTGTCACAGTCTGTGATGGCCTTGTGTGTGATTTCTCGTTATTGTCCATCTCTCTCCGTGGGGATGCATCCTTCCCAGGGGTCGGGGCCCCGCCTGCTGGGGCGCTGCTGTACCTCTGCCTCCCGGCACCACCACAGGCCGAAGCCATTCTGGTGTGAACCGAAGCCCAGCTGTGGCCAGGAGCTGCCTCGGTGTGGGTGGAAGAGGAGGGGTGGGCCTTCCAGGCCAGCCGGACCCTGCAAGGCTTTGTCCAGCTCTTCCCTCAGCCTGGGCTTTATGAATTCGGTGATAAATGGGAAGCTGTAAATATGACCCATTGTGCTGATGCCCTTCCACTAACGCTGGCCCGCCTTGACGAGGTGGGCAGCTGGTCCTGGTTAATCCCTGTGCCGTTGGCGAGGCCAGGCTGCCTCTGTGCACCCTCCACCCCATTCTTGGGGGATGGCACGCAGTGCAGTCTTCAGTGTTCGCTTTTGTGTATGCAAATTGTGCCCTAATGTTTCAGTCTTAATTCCAGAGTAAGAAGTCCTACTAAAGGTGGTGTTGAGTAACTCAGTTTGGAGAAAACATATCCAGTTTTCATATGTTTCCAATAGAGTGACCGCCTTCTGATCAGAGGTGGGAAGATTGTGAATGACGACCAGTCCTTTTACGCTGACCTGTATGTAGAAGACGGTTTGATAAAGTAAGTTTCTGCCTCAGATTTCCTTTTTTTTTTTTTTAAGATTTTATTTTTCCTTTTTCTCCCCAAAGCGCCCCGGCACATAGTTGTGCATTTTTAGTTGTGGATCCCTTCAGCTGCGGCATGCGGGATGCTGCCTCAGCATGTCCCGATGAGCGGTGCCATGTCTAGGCCCAGGACCCGAACTGGCAAAACCCCGGGCTGCCGAAGCAGAGCACGCGAACCCAACCCCTCGGCCACGGGGCCTGCCCCTGCCTCAGATTTCTTAATAGATCATACATGTGCACATTGATCACACGTTATCCAGAAGCTTACTTTTGGGTGAAATCCATGTAAATGTTTCTTTCTAAAACCCTGTTCTCTGGAAACAGCTGTAGCCCAAGCCTTTGTGATAACAGAATCTCTCCACTTAGTCGCAAGTTCTCCAAAATAAGACAGTGGCCTCCACCTGTCTTTGAGTTATCACAGCTTTAGGACGATGCAGGGCTCACAGCAGGTGCGTAATAAATGTTTCCTGACCACCCCTATCAGCTTCTCTGCTTGTATCTGTCGAGCAGCTCCACCCACTAGTCAACTGACCTGCCAGGGGACCCCACAAGGGCAGCGCCATGTCCATAGGTTGGATCCTCCATGGTGACTGTCTTGAGCCACTGAATGGGGTGTCCTGCTCTCTGACAGTCTCCAGGGGCTGATCCAGTTAAGTCTTGGCCATTTTGTCCTTTGCCTCCAGCAGAGGTGCCCAAACACGTGCTTCTCAGGTCCGCAGTGTTGCAAAGGAGCCCGTTCAGGTTCTGATCCAGGCTCTTTATAACCAGTGAAATTTCTCTTTGTTGCTTTCAGACAAATTGGAGAAAACCTCATCATCCCTGGGGGCGTCAAAGCAATCGATGCCCATGGCCTGCTGGTCCTGCCAGGTGGGGTCGACGTGCACACCAGGCTGCAGATGCCTGTCCTTGGCATGACCCCAGCTGACGACTTCTGCCAGGGGACCAAGGCCGCCCTAGCAGGAGGGACCACCATGATATGTGAGTGTCTGCCAGCGGGGAGCGCCCGTCCCATGTCTTAGTCTTCTGAGCAGGGTGTGTGTCGCAGGAGTTTTTCTCAGTCCTATTTCCGTTGATTATAGCTCAGTCTCATAAGCCCTGGAGTGTTCTCCGTTACCCGTGTTTCTCACTCCGAGTCATGCCTTGGCCAGGAGGAAATGCTCCTGGGATTTCTTAGATTCCGTCTAGAGCAAATGGATGTGTGCCCAGTAATTTATTATTTTCTGGACAGCCAGCAGCTCTCCAGGTTTATAAAACCCACATGCCTTGGGCAAGCAGAGAGGCTGTGTTGCCTGAAACGTCAGACACATTCCCCTGAACCTCACACCTCCGACGCTCGTTCTGTACCAAGTTCCGGCCCCTGTTGAGAAGAGCTAAAGACAGAGGCTGTGTTTTTAGAAAAAGGATGATGAAAATACTTACTGTTATCCTATCAACAGCCACTAGAGTTACCATTTCTTTAGTGCTGGCTCTTTACCATCCTGACATGCTTCAGCTCGTGTGCCCTCCCCATGAGACCCCTGAGCTCAGCAGAGAAGCCTCTTTAACAGATTGTGAGGTGAACTTGCCTGTCCCCCATGCGCTGGCTCGTGGTCAGCCCCGAAGCCAAGATGGGACCTCTGGGCTGGGCCCTTTCTCTCACGGCCTGGGAGGCCCCCAGCTCAGCAGTGCTGAGTGCAGACGTCTGTACCGTCGTGGAGCCCTGGCCCCCCATGCGCTGGCTGCGTGGCCTCAGGTAACTGGGCTAACTTCGAGAAGCCCTGCTTTCCTAGTCTGTGAGAGGAGGAAGAGGAGGACCCTCCTCAGAAGGTCGTGAGGACTGAGTGAGGGCCTGTGCGTTGCTTGGCTGTGCCTGGCACGCTGTAAGTGCCGCCACTGCTGCCGTCAGAAAGGGCTACTCCAAGGACTCTGGCCACTTCACAAAGTGACATTTAGCCATTGTGAAAACCATGGCTTGGTTTGTTTACTCAACCACAAAGTGAGAAAAAAGCAACGATGGTCCATCTTTTCGTTTGACTAAGGAGACTGGTCATTGCAGGCCATTGCTCATGCTTGTCACTGGTGGCCCAACCTGGCCAGGACATCTTCGTGGTTGATGTCACCTGCTCATGCCAGTGCTGAGGCATCAGACAAGCTATGATGTGTCGCCATGAGGACAGAGAGATGCTGCAGGCATGGGGCTGGGCTCTGTCTAGCTGTCTGCCTTCCTCAGCTGCCAGCCCCAAGCTGGAGCTGTGAAGGTCTGGCAGGGTGGCAGGGACGGGGGATACCCCCTCCCATGGGGTCCTGGGTCCACAGTCTGAGCTGTGGGAGTGTAGGGGCCCTGTGTGGGAAGTGCTGGAGGAAGGCACAGCATTTGCCAGTGACCCTGGGGTGGGTGCGCATTTCTATTGACCACCCTCACTCCCAGCTCTTTCCCTGCACCCAGGAGGTACTGTGAGCAGTGCTCAGACTTGGACACAAGGTTGGGAGGGAGCGGTCATGTGCCAGTGCAGTGGCCACGTGCACTCGCAGTTTCCGCAGGGGATGGGTGGCACTGTCCAAGGTGTGCAGTCAGTGGGGCACCTGGGCGGGCTCACTGGGTCCAGCACCACAGACAGCGGCACCTTCCAGCTCCTGCCTCCACCTGCCCTCCAGGTGTGCCTCACTCAGGCGGACACCTGTGTTGGAGGTTAAGGCCCTTAACTGCCACTAGCGCTCCTTGGGGTGAGATATGTCCATCAGGGAGTGGGGTGGCTTGAACCCAGACTTTGTCTCTCTGCTCAGACGGAGGCCGGGGGCCGTGGGGTGGAAAATGCCTCTTTGCACAGAACCCATGGGCAAGTTCAGGGCTTACTGCCCGTGGCTCCTCCTCTGCTCTTGTCAAACATGATTTCTGATCCCTCGGGAACATGAAACCAGTCTCCCTTGGAGGCCTAGGTGGCTCCCAGTGACCGGGTTTGGGGGCTCAGCTGACTGCGCTGCCCCCCACAGTGGACCATGTGTTCCCCGACACGGGTATGAGCCTACTGGCGGCCTACGAGCAGTGGCGGGAGCGAGCAGACAGCGGGGCCTGCTGCGACTACTCCCTGCACGTGGACATCCCCCGCTGGCACGAGAGCATCAGAGAGGAGCTGGAGGCCCTGGTCAAGGACAAGGGTGAGCAGCGGCCCCCGCGGCTGGACTGAGGGGTGGCTGGAGGGGTGGGTGGGCGCAGGAACCTGGGCTTCCTTGGTCTCGGGAGGGAAGGACACCCACTCTGGCCTCTGGCTGTGCTGGACTGTGCATGCGTCTGACCCCAGGGCAGGTGGCCAGGAACTGGGGGAAGGTGAATGAGTCTCTCTGAGGAAGGTCTGCCCTGCTTCCCAAGCATCTGGACTAGAGGCCCTCCACCTCCCACATCTGAGGGACACGTCCTGTGACCGTCCTCCTCGCAGAAGGGCGTGGGAGTCACAGCTCCTGTCTTGGTCCTTTGTTTCTTGGCCCTGGGCAAAGGAGAAGGACTATGCATTTTCCTAGTATCGTAAGATCCTTCTAGAAGGAGAATGCTTTAAAACCTACTATCCTCTACTGCTGCCTGTGCTGAAAGAGGCCAGTCTATAAACAGACTTTAACTTTTTTTCATCAAAAGTCCTGAAGGTAAAACCACATGGAAGTTTCCTAGTGGATTTGACAAAGTTAGATGAACGTTGTAACTGATCCTGGTAATCCAGCTTCGAGTGTGGTCCATGGTTTACAGCCTGGAATGGCAGGATGGGGTCCAAGCCTATGCGGGGCTGGCAGGCCAGGGTGCCAGACTTGCTGGCTGCAGCCCCTGGCCGGGCCCAGGAGGCACAGGGCTCTCTCACCCCCAGGAGACACCTGCCCGTCTGCAGACCTGCAGGAGGCAAGGAGGCTTTGTGGAGGCCACTTCCCAAAGAGTGTCTGTCCTCACACCAGTGGCCTTTGGTCCTCGGGAACCCCTTCCCTACCTGGGGCCTGGCAGGGTAGGCTCTTGGCCTCTGTGCCTCACTCCAGCAGTAGCTCTGCCATCCTGGTGGTACTCGTAACTGTACTTGGGGGGGGGGGGGGCCTGCGTCTCAGAGCAGAGGTAGAAACCAGTCACCTGCAGCACCTCCCACTCTGGGGCAGTGCTGGGCGGGGTCTGCTCCCAGCAGAGCCAGACGTGGGCCCTTGGCCCTGGCCCACTGGGCAGTGTCCAAGGCTGGCCTGCATGCTGACCAGCAGCCTCCATCAGACACCCTGGAAAGGTTATCACCTGCAGTGGTGCGTGTGGCATGGGGTGACTCAGTTCCCCCACAGTGTGCCTTAGCTCCTCACATTAGCACTTCTGACCCAGTGAGATGCCAGGGAGGAGGGAGGGGCCTCGGGCCTGGGGGGGTTTGGAGGGTGGGAGGCTCGGGACGCTGCCTCAGGCTCAGATGGGTCTCCAGTCTGGTTCCGAGTCCTGGGGGAGGTGGGGAGGTGCTGGCTGCCCACAGGAGAGCCCAGCCTAGAGAGGTTGACCCTCCTCCTCTTGGGCCCTGACGCCATGAGCAGCCTGGCCTGTTCCTTCTGCTTTTCCTGAGAGCCCAGCCTGGCTGAGGACCCCGAAACCTGCCTCCCCCACAGTGGGTCCCCCAAGCACGTGCTGTGCGCCAGGGCCTGGCAGGGTGCGACTCTGAGGCCCCCGCAGGCAAGTGATGGGCTAGATGGCCAAAGTGAGGGCCACTCAGCATGCTGTGGCCCGGGCCATGTGCCTGTGGAGACCAGGGAGGACCCAGGCAGCGAGCCCAAGGCACATTGCTCCCTCCTTCCTAGTGGTGGGAGCTAGTGAGGGGGTGTGTGGGGGTGGGGGGACGTGAGGAGAGTTTGTGAGGGGTTTGAGGGGTTGTGAGGGGGCCTCACCTGTGTTTGCTGCTGGGGAAAAATTGGTTCCTGACCCTGGAGCATGAGGAGCAGACAAGGAAGGGGCTAGGTCCCACTCCGTCCCCCATTCCTGGCTTGCTGGTGAGTGTATGTGGGGGCCACCGGACGAGGGTCGCCGTGGCAGCTGGTGAGGTACCCATGGGAGAGGGCTGCCCCACCCCCGGCCCCTCTGGAGATGGGGGAGCAGCGAAGGCTCCCGGGCGTCTGACTGATGATGGCCGAGCCTCCCACCGGCTCGCCTCTCCTCCAGGTGTGAACTCCTTCCTGGTCTTCATGGCATACAAGGACAGGTGCCAGTGCACCGACGGCCAGGTAAGGGCAGGTGCCGAGAGGAGGGAACGTGTGGGAGTCTCTTAGGCTGCCGCTGGGAGAGACGCAGCCCCACACGGCCCCCATGCGCCTCTCTTCCCAGATGTATGAGATCTTCAGCATCATCCGGGACCTGGGAGCCGTGGCCCAAGTACATGCAGAGAACGGGGACATCGTGGAGGAGGTGCGGCCAGGGCGGGGGTGCAAGGGGGACCCTAAGACAATCAGATGTGAGCATTTAATCCCACAAACCTGAGGGCGGGAATATTGAATGGATTCCAGTAAATAGCTTGCCCTGGGTCAAAGGTCAAGCAAGCAGGGAGTTAAGGGAGCCTGAGTGGCTTTTGGCCCGAACACAGATCTTTTTGTGATCATCACACTTCTTATCAAAAATTCCCCAAAACCAAAATGTCTTTTCATGGGAACTGAGGCTTTCCCAGTGCCTTCTCCCCAGGGACTGCAGCCCACTCTGGGAGCTGGACACTTGTGTTCCTTTCACCAGGGAGTGCATGTGTTGCATTAGTGGCCTGTCCTTGAGTCACAGCCCAAGGACCTGGGGAGGGCCCTCCCACTGCCCCACTCCGTTCCCTCACCCGGGGCTTTGGGGTGGGGCACCCAGGGCTGTGGGTGGGACGCCCAGGCTGTGGGTCCCACCCTTGAGTTTTTCTCCTTGCTCCTTTGTTTTCCCCTGGGCTGGAGCGGCCACAGGTACAGACCCTGCGGGTCACCCAGGAGGTTCAGGGGCTCCTCATGGGGCCTGGTGGGAGGTCACACACACACAGCTCACCTTCCTGACATCCCAACCCAGAGAGAAACTTCCTGGGACTCTGCCCAGCTCCCACGTTCGAAAGAAGGCGATGACACTTGGGGAGGGCGTGTGGGCTTCCCAGGTCCTCATCCTTCCATTTGACCATGAGGTCGTCGGGCACTGCATATGCCTCTGTGGTCGGGGGCCAGGCTCAGGCTACACCATCAGAATGTCGTGGGTCAAGCTCAGTATACAGGCGGGGGGCAGAGAATGCCAGGGAGATACCCCACCAGTGTTGAGGAGTCCAGTTATGAGGGTTGGAGGGGTTCTGCCTCCCCTGCGTTCTCACGTCAAAGCTCGGCTCTGTGTCTTCATTTACATGTGAGGGATGCTATGGCACACATATTCCAGGGTGAGCGTGCTGACGGGAGACGTCGTGGGTCCACCCCAACTATGCAAGCCCCCACTGCACACCCCCAGATATGCCCCCAATGGGGAACACAGCATGGCGGGCAGGACTGTGGGGTGGTCTTGGCCGCGTCACTAAAGAGCCTATGACCTTGGGCAAGTCCCTGCCCCTCTCCAAGCCTCTTCCCTCGTCTATAATTTAGGGAGATGAAGTCCTCCTCTCCAAGGTCCATCTCGCCCCTCCATTCTGAGTTCCCTGTAGTTGGGAATTCTGGGGGTCCAGGACTCACCTCGGGGAGCAGGGCTCATGTGAGGTCTGGGGTCAAGAATCACCTCGGGGAACAGGGCTCACGTGAGGTGTGGGATTGGGACTCACTTTGGGGAGCAGGGCTCACGTGAGAGGCCTGGGGTCAGGACTCATCTTGGGGATGTGGTCTCCTGGGCTGTGGACCTCATGGCCAGGCCACAGCTCTCCAGGGCTCTGGGGGCACCTGGCTGGAACGTGGTGTCCTGTGGTTTATTTAGGAGCAGAAGCGCTTGCTGGAGCTCGGCATCACCGGCCCCGAGGGCCACGTGCTCAGCCACCCTGAGGAGGTAGGATTGTGCCTGCTGAGAGGGCACCCCAGTGTGCCACCTTCCCCTGGGGTCGGCCCTGCCCTCATCGCCTGGGCAGGGCTATGACCACACTGTGCATGAATCAGTGGGCCCTCGCCCACCAGATTCCTGTGCCCCCATGACCACTGGTTACCCCAAAGTATTTCCCTTGGGCCTTGAAGGGCCGAGAAGGCCATGTGGTCAGGCCCTGGGGGCTGATGGGTCAACCCAGATCCTGGGCACAAAGCCCCAGACCGGCGTCCTCACGTACCCAGGAGTGCCTTCCCTGGGCCCAGGATTTATGGGTGATCTCTGGGTGTCCTGTGCCCACTGGTCAGGAGGCCCCTGTGTCCTCGTGTGGCCTGAGCACCCGCACATCCCCAGGTGGAGGCTGAGGCCGTGTACCGTGCCGTCACCATCGCCAAGCAGGCCAACTGCCCCCTGTACGTCACCAAGGTGATGAGCAAGGGTGCAGCCGATGTGGTTGCCCAAGCCAAACGCAGAGGTGAGTGTGCGGCCCTGGACCCCACACGCTTGGGGAGGGGCTCTGTCGGGGTCAGGAGTCATGTTCTCAGTCCCCCGGGGGCTCTGCTGGCTAAAGGGAGGCTCAGAACAAAGCAGGCCCAATAGAGAATAAGCCTGCCGCCCTGCCTGGCCTCTTTGTGGTGGGGACCTCATTCTCAGGACAGCAGGGGTGTGGCCTTTGGGAGAGGCGAGTGCCTGGTCCCTGTGCAGGGTAGGGGGCCCAAGTCTATGTCTCCACGGAGCATCAGCTGCTCACCAGGGGGCCTTGAAGCAGACCGTGTGGCCTGTTGGCCCTGTTTCCACAGGAGTGAGAACTGTATGTGTGTGCGTGCACATGTGTGTGTGTGTGAGATTTGATTCCATGTGCACTAGAACCTTGCCCAGCTGACCCCACTGGGAGCCCCACATTACTGTCACTGGGCACCTCCTGCATCTAGTAGCTGGGGTGCTTGCCCCAAGGGCTGGGTGCTCTCTGCCCACAGGGCACCCCCACAGCTGGAGGAGGTGGTGGGTAAAGGAGACGAGCCCGGGGTCTGAGTTGACGTGTGTTGCTCCAGCTGTGGTCCAGCAGGGGTGCCCACAGGCCTGACCCTCAGCAGGGGGGTGTGAGGGAGCAGGTGTGGAGACGACCCCCCCGAGGAGCCCCAGGCCAGCTGTGCTTGACCAGGGCCAGGTGCCCCAAAATAAGGGGACAAGCTGTCCAGGGTCGGGAAGGCGAGGGACAGTTGGGGCACATCAGCAGCGCAGTGCCGAGGCCTCCGCCCTGCTCGGGTCCCGAGGGCATGCAGGTGGGCTGGGCGCCTCTCACGGGGCCTCACTGCAGGGGTGGTCGTGTTTGGGGAGCCCATCACTGCCAGCCTGGGCACCGACGGCTCACACTACTGGAGCAAGAACTGGGCGAAGGCGGCGGCCTTCGTCACATCGCCCCCCATCAACCCCGACCCCACCACCGCAGACCATCTCACCTCCCTGCTGTCCAGGTATGGAGCTGACCCAGGGTGGCCCCAGAGTGGCCTGCAGGCTCCATGCCCCGCCCTGACCTCAGCCTGCTGGCAGCTCCAGGCCTCTCCTGCATGAACCCTGGGCCCTCGTGTCCCCCACGCTGAGGCACCAGGGCTGCCCAGCGTGGCTTTCTCAGATGACCTCTGGGCCCCATGGGCCGTGCTGGCCAGGGTCGGGGTGAGGCAGACCGGGACCGTCTGGGCTCCTCTGAGCCCGGCTTGTTCTCAGCGGTGACCTCCAGGTGACCGGCAGTGCCCACTGCACCTTCACCACTGCCCAGAAGGCCGTCGGCAAAGACAACTTCACACTTATCCCTGAGGGCACCAACGGTGTGGAGGAGCGCATGTGCGTGGTCTGGGAGAAGTGCGTGGTGAGTACAAGGGGGCACACGGTGCACCCACCAGGAGTGGGGCGCCAGCCGAATTCTGACGGTCCATCAGAAAGGGAAGCCACTTAGCCAGTAAATTCATAGCGTGGAATAGAGGTCGGAGCGCGTGGGCCTGGGGTGTCACCCCTGCCAGCGCTGCCATCCAGGGCCCCTCAGACATTCTGTTCCGCCCGCCTGGAGGAGACCCCCATGGCTGCCACACAGCCCCGGTTCTCATGGCACATGAAGAATGCATCTGTGCACACGGCTCAGGGAGGGCGGGCCCCCGTCCCCGGTGGAATTGCACTCTGCGTGTTAGTGGTCTCCTAGAACGCCTGTTTCCCTAGACTTCCGTCTCACTCGGAAAGCCCTGCCTGGTGTCCTCTGCCCCCTGCACACCCCACCCCGGCCCTGAGCTCTTCCCTGGGCTGAGCCTGACCCCGGGCTTCCCCCACCGCCCTACCTCCCCAGGCCTCCTGGCCACCCCAGAGAGACTGTCACGTCCTTCAGGGGACACAGACGTTGCTGTGGGAGCTTCACCATTTGTTCACCCTCCGAATGAGCACAGAGACCAGGCTCCGTGCACAGGAAGGAGCAGACCAGCCGCGTGACTGAGAGGGGCCTGTTGATTCACACGCACAGTGCCTCCACCTGGGAGCGCGGTTCCGATGCTGCTCGCTGCCCGGAGGGCAGGGGCCCGTGTCCCTGGAAGCCCTGAGACCAGGCCTCCACGGGTCCTTGGGAAGGGCGCTCCCTTCCCCCTCAGCTCGGCCTTCTTGCTTCTCAGGTCTCGGGGAAAATGGACGAGAATGAGTTTGTTGCTGTGACCAGTACAAATGCAGCCAAGATCTTCAATTTTTACCCAAGGAAAGGACGAGTGGCTGTGGGCTCCGACGCGGACCTGGTCATATGGAACCCCAAGGCCACGAGAATCATCTCCGCCAAGAGCCACAACCTGGTAAGAGAAGCCTGCTCCCTGAGTCGGGGCGGTGGCCTGGGGAACTCCTCGTGGCCTTCCCCGGAGTGTTCCAGGGGTGGCACTCACAGGCGGCAGCAGCTACTTTGCTCATCCCAGTGCTGACCATCATAGGGACAAGGGGCCCACCCCACTTGTGGGAGAGTTAACCTTATTGCAGGCTCACACCCCTCCCCTCTGTCCTTCTCAGAGGCCTGTGATTCAGGACCAGGTGCGCTCGGCTGGGGCCTGTTCCTTCTGAGTTCTGGCCCAGCCGAGTGGATTGCGTCCAATTAGGGGTCTGAAACAGGCTCGCGGGCCTCCGAGGACGCTGCTCGGCTCACAGGGTGCTCTGAGGGCTGGGAGGGCCACAGCTGCAGTGCTGGATGCTTGGCCCTATCTCCCCAGAATGTGGAGTACAACATTTTCGAAGGCATCGAGTGCCGCGGGGCCCCGGTGGTGGTCATCAGCCAGGGCAGGGTCGTGCTGGAGGATGGGAACTTGTTCGCCACCCCGGGGGCCGGCCGCTTCGTCCCTCGGAAGACATTCCCGGACTTCGTCTACAAGAGGATAAAGGCGCGCAGCAGGGTAAGGCCTGAACCAGGCGGGGCGTGGGGTTCAAGGCCATCTCCGCATGCAGGAGCTTTCTCCTCCTGGTCAGCCCTGCCCGCCCAGGCTAGCAGGCAGCCAGGCAGAGTGGCTCCTCGCTCGCCCAGGGCACCTGATGGGCAAAAGTGCCAGCAAGGCCTGCTCCTAGTCACACACCCAGGGCAGCAGGGACAGTGGTGGGACTCAGACCCTGTCCTCAGGGCTCAACGCCCCCACTCGCTCGCTCTCGTCCCGTGCCTCTGCCCCACTGTGACCTCCCAGTCTGGGCTCACCAGGCAGCCATGAGTCCAAGCCACAAATCCTGAGGGAGGCGCCAGCTGGAAACACAAGCACATCTGGAGGTTTTGCTTCAATCCACGGACCACTGGTCCATCGTAGTGGCTGCTGGGAAATGCCTCTGACTTTGGGGCCATTTCCAAGGAGGACAGGATGCAGGGCCTCCCTCTCAGGGCCTCCTCGGGGACGAGTGGGGCTGTGCCGGGGCCCCAGGACGACGGCTACTGAGGAGGCAGTGACTGTGCTGGGGCCAGTCTTCGACTGCAAACAGAGGCCTCCTCTGCAGGCAGCCGTGTGTGAGCAGTGCTGCTCCAGCCAGGGTACTGCCACAAGCCTCAGGGAAGGAGGTGGTGTGTGCACGGACGTGAGTGTGTTCACGCCTGTGTGCAGGGAGGGGTGTGCACACACGTGTGTGTAGGTAGGAGGGGAGGCAGGTGTGTGTCCGAGCATGCAGGATGAGCGCCCTCATTGGTGGGGAGCCCTGGAGTTTCTGAGCCCGGCAGAATGCAGTGGGCAGGCTCTAGGCGGGAGCCCCCTGCCCTCCAGTTGCAGGGCCGGCTCGGCGCCCCTCACGCCCGCCTCCTCGCCCCGCAGCTGGCGGAGATCCATGGCGTACCCCGAGGCCTCTATGACGGGCCAGTCCATGAGGTGATGGTGCCCACCAAGCCGGGGGGCGGCGCCCAGGCCCGCGTGTCCTGCCCAGGGAAGATCTCAGTGCCCCCCGTGCGCAACCTGCACCAGTCGGGGTTCAGCCTGTCTGGTGAGTGGAGCCTGGGGGCGGACTGGGGGCTCCGCTGGAGCATCCTGAGGGACAGGAAGCCCCTGGAGCCGCAGGGCCTCAGGTACCAGGGCCCAGCCTGTGCTGGGTGGGTGAGCTTTGGGAAGGCTGCTAGCCCCTGCCCACATCTGGCCGCAGACAGAGAGCAGCCACCAGGGCTGGGCCTCCTCGTCCCATTGCCCTGCAAAGAGCTCAGGTGTGTGGGCCCAGCCTGGTAAGACCCTTCCTGCCCCAGCATCTGCCCCAGGGTGTGAGACCCCCTCTGTGAACCAGCCATGCTGAGGAGGCGGCTGTGACTTTGAGCCCAGGGGTGAGCATGGGATGCCCAGCCTCTGCGGGGACACAGTGCCATGTGGGAGTCCAGCTCCTCCAGCCCATCATGGCTCCCAGCCAGCCCCACCAGCCCTGCATCACATGCGAGGCACATCAAGAGGGGTCTGTGGGTGCTCGGGGACATGCAGGGATGCCTCAGAGGGCTCAGGTGGCCCCGGCGTGCAGGCCACCAGAGTCGGGCCCCTGGTCAGGTCTTGGCTGTGGTCCAGCACGATGTGTGACTGAGATTCTTCTAGAAGCTCTGAGCCCCGGGTTCTCCCTGCAAACCAGACAGACCCTTCCTCTCTCCACCCCTCTGGTGGGGGCCAGCCCACCCCTTGATGTCCTGTCTCATCCTCCCCCTCGGGGAGAGGATGGAGGTCACCTCCTGGGGACGCAGGGCCAGGGGCAGGTCCCCTTCAAATCCAGCATTGTCTTAAAAGCCAGGGACAGCCTTCTCCCATCATGGGGGTCTCTGTGCAGGGTGAGCCCAAGACCCACAGGAGGGACGAACAGGACTGGCCTAGCCTGTGCTCCTCGGGATGGGCGTCCTGGAGGGTCAACACTGACCTCCAGGCCCCAGCTGAACACAAATGCTGGCCTCACTCCCCCGCATCCAAGGCCTCAGTGATGGGAACGCCTGCCCGGTTGCCTTGTCTCCCTGCCACGGCTGTCTGGGGAGCATAAGGGACCCACAGTGGGTGGGTAGGCAGCTCTGCAGTCCGGGCCTCACTGGTGGGGCCAGCAGCGTCTGTGTCCCTTCCCCACCCGCCTTCCGCTGACCTTCCCGCACCCACTGCCCGCCTTTCTGCAGGATCTCAGGCCGACGACCACATTGCTAGACGCACGGCTCAGAAGATCATGGCGCCCCCTGGCGGACGCTCCAACATCACCTCGCTGTCCTAGACGTCCCAGCTGGGTGCCAGCAAGTTGGTGCTGCCCCCGCGGGGCGGACGGCAGCAGGGACCACTCAGCTCAGTTAGCTTCCCTTTGTTGAACTTATTTTGAAAGGTGCTTGGCCTTACCTTCCCCTCCCCAGAAACTCTCCTTTTGGGGTCCCAGGTCTATTACGAGGCGCCCCCATGAGGAGACAGCTGAACTTGGGGAGGTTTCACTGCCAGGGCAAGGAGGCTAGACATGGTGGTGGGGATGGCTCAGGTGGCCCCGAGCCCAGGTGCTACATGCCTCATGAAGACGGGGCGCCCACCGGGGGCCTCATAACCTGCACGGAACAGGCTGGAAGGCTGGGGGCCTTTGCTCCCTCCTCCCCATTACACATCACTGCCCTGTGAAGCCCCCAGCTCCCCTGCCTGCTCCCGTGGCCGGGGGTGCAGCCTGTCCCCCCTCCACCTCGGTGTAGGCCGTGAGCTGAGCCCCGCCCCAGAGCTGCTGTGACTTCAGGGACCCACCAGGCACGTGGCACAGGGCGGCGGCTTCCTGCAGGACTTGCGGACTCACACACTTTTCCAAGGACCAAACCTCTGCTTTTGTAGTAGCCCGTGTCCAGGGGAACTTAGGATCCTTTAGCTGAGATGCCTTCCTTTTGTGACTAAGTGTGCACTCCGGTAGTTTACTAGACCAGCAGTTTTGTGCGGTGAGGACAACTGTAGCCAGGGATCTGCATGCCACCCACAGCCCGGACGGCCACGCCGTCACCCCAGTCTGATGGGAAGGGTCAATTAAAGCCGTCTGGGTCAAAGCCTCCGGTGCGTGGAGAGCCTGGCTTCTCTGCCCCTATACCATCCCGCACGAGTGGTTTATGCGTGGACCTCGGGGACATTCTGCCTAGCCTGGCTTCGTGCTGACTGCAAAGCTGGACCTCAAGACCCCCCGGAAAGGACAGCTTTGCTGGGCCTCTGGGCTGGGGAAGGTGCAGGGCTGGTCTGGGGGGGCAGGGCTGTTCCTCTCGGGGGGGCCTGAGAACCGTGCCCAAGCCCAGGCCTGCCGGTCAGAGACAGCCAGAGGGTCAGAGGGACGTTGATGTGACCCACGCCGGAAGCTCAGAGGGAGAAGGTTGGGCTGGGAGGACCTCTGCCCACATCCTGACTGGACGGGCCCGAGCCGCCCCAGCAGAAGGTCGAGGGGCAGCCTGGCCCATGAGGAAGCACAGGGAACAGGGCAGCATTGCCAGTGGGTGGTCGACAGGTGTGGCTCTGGCCTGAGACTGACGCCCCCTCCACAGACACACGCAGCCTTGGCCCTGCACCCCTCAAAGCAGAGGTTCTGATCCAGAACCTCGGGCTGGGCTACCCCAGAACCTTCCAGAAGGAGGAACTGCTGGGCTGGCCTCCTGGCCTCAGCCTCTCTCATAAAAATGGTGCCAGTTCTGTACCGCAGGTGTGGAGTGCTCCCAGAAGGGGTGTCTCTGCCCCAAGGGCAGGATGGTTACGGTCACTGGGGAGACAAGCCGGGAAGAGTCAGCGACAGCCCCCCACACCCGGCATCACCAAGCATGCTGGCCCCTGGTGACCAGGGAGCATTTTCAGCTATGTTCTCTGGGGAAACACAAACGCCCCATCTTTGAATCCAGGCGTCTCCTGAAGCTCTGTTGGTCCAGGGCAGCCCCCTGGAGGAGATCCATCCTGGTGGTCCTGCCACATTCCTGGGGGGCTCCCTCTGCCCCAGATTTGTTTGGTCAGTGTGGCCTCAGCTGGGTTCCTGGGGCTCTGCCAAGGCCGTGGTCCACTGCCCCACTGTCCCTCTCCCCCGGAGAGAGAGTGGGTGATCGGGAAGCCAGACCACATCCCTGCCACTGACACAGGAAGCAGGCAAGCTGTGCTCTGGGGTCTCTAAAATGCACGCTTAGATTTGCAGGTTCATACAAACCCCCAAACCCCCCTTGTTCTGTTCCTGCTTCTGACATCACCAGGTCTCCACCCGGAACCTTCTCCGGGGCTCGGTACCACCCACTGGGCATCCTGTACCACTGCCCACTTCCACACCCTGGCTTCTCCGGGGCTGACTGGGGCCCTGTGTCCCCCATGTGCACACACTGCTGAGCTTCTGATGTCAATTATACCTCAGTGAGTGAAAGGGCACCGATCCCAAGGCCGTGTGGGGGCCTGGGGCCCTGAGGGCTCTGCCCCCACAGGAACTGTGCGGACTGATGACGAGCATTTTCTGAGCCGCAGGCACTGGGCACGGCCGCCCCACAGACACAGAACGCGCAGAGCACTCGACAATGAGCACTTCCCCTACTGTAATTCTCAGAGTGAAAACTATACAGAACACAGCAGAAATTGCTGGAACAGCTGGCGTCTATAAAACATTCCTCACCTTCACACCCGCGACCCTCCCCCCTTGATGTACAAGAACCCAGCAGACCCTGGGCCACCCCGCAGCTCGGGGTAGCAAGCTCACAGACATCGCACAGCCCACGGCACGGCCGGCAACGAGGGCTATGTACAGCCAAGAGGTGGTGAGAGACGAGAGCGCCTGTCCCGCCATGCGGCTCTGGCCTCCGTGACCCCCCCGAGGTGAGGCCAGGGCGGGTGGCCACGTGCCCCCTCCACCGTCGCAGGTAACGGGAGTGGTCAGGTGGTGCACACCCTCCTTGCCTACCAACCCCCGCCACACGGACAGCCTCTTGCCGTGTGCCACCTGGAGCCCGAGGGTAGGCTCGGCGGTCAGACTGTTCCAGTAAAAATATGGCCAGGGCATGGGGGGGCCACCAGCCTGGATCCGGGGTGGACGAGCTGGGACTCCACCCACTGCCCCAGCGTGCTGTCCCTTGGCAGCCCTGAGTCTCCAACGCAACCTGAGTTGGCACTCTGAGAGGCTGGCGAGGCTGCCTAGCCGCTCCCGGCCGACGGGCAGATGGAGCCACACATGGGCAGGGCGGGGCGCGCCCCCTCACTGTCCACCGAGGCCTCCGCCGTGTCCCCTGCCTCGGGTGCCGGCAGGGGCTCGCTCGTGGGATCCTGGCTCCTCTTCAGCCTGTGTGGGGAAACACAGGGAGGGGCTCTATGCAGCCTCACCAGCGGCCCCCGGACACTTCTTGCTGGCCCACGACTTGTCCAAGGACTCCTGGAATGTGTCCCTCGGGAACACAGCTTAAGGGCCCCCAAACACGGACCAGGTGCCAGGCATCTCTGCCAGGGCGGAACCCCCCTCTGGGAGGTGCTGACCCAGCGGGACACCAAGGGTGGACGTGGGGTGGCCACACGGCATTTCAGCCCAGTGGTGCCCTCTGTCTGACTGTTTGTGGCCTTCAGGCACAGAGCAGTGGGGCTGGCACATCTCTGTTTGTTTCCAGCCAGAAGCTGAAAGGAGGCCTAGTGTAAGTGCAAGTCCTGGGGGTCAGCAGCATCAGCAGTCAGACTGTTCCAGAAAAACATGGCCAGGGCGCAGCGGGGGCCACCAATCTGAAACGAGGCTTTTCAAAGAGCTTGGCTCAGTCCTGTTCTTATCCAGGCCTCTGACCTCCAGGATGGTGGCCAGCATTCTAAACCAGTGCCCACACATCATCCTGGTCACCAAGGCAAGACAGAGCACCGGCTGGTCCTGCTCACCTGCCAGGCCAGCGCTCAAGGCCACCGTCTCCAGGAAGCCCTCTGTGCCTGACTCTGCCACTCCTCACCCAGGCCCCACAGCACTGGGCTCCTTCTCTCTGCTGTGACAGGGGCCTCAGCTATTTGTGGCCTGCCATATCTCCCTGCCAGCCAGCTGTGCCCTTTCTGTCTCACAGTCCCTGGCACCCAGTGAAGGTTTGCTGAGTGAATGAGTGAGTGAGTGACTGAGGGGTGGGAATTGATGTGACTCTATAGGGCCACCCAGGAAGCCATCAGCCCTCATCTGGGCAGCCTCCCGGGTGTCTCCCTAGGAGAGTCTGGCCACTGACCTGAGTTTGGAACTAAAAGTTCCCAGGGGCCCCTCCTGCACGAGCCTGAACGGGGACCTCCCCCCCTCCTCCTCGAGCACTGCTGGTCAGATTCCCCCGGGGGGGTGGTTCCCCAGGCCCACTGATGCCACATGGCTGCAGGGGCCCAGGACTTGTGTGGCCAAGAAAACCCTGGCCCAGTTCCACAAACTCCTCTCTGCCCCCATAACCCGCCTCCAACACACACACTCACTTTTCTCTGTTAAAAATCACAAAGTCTTGCTGGATGGCATCAAGGCAGTCCTGAAGGTAGTCATTCTCCTGTTAGTCAAAAGACACACAAATGACTGTAGTGGACACCGTCAGGTTCCCTCACAGCCCCTCGGGGGGGCTCCCGAACACCCCTCCTGCTGGGTCTGCTCCTCCTCCCGTGGCCTGCGCCTGTGGCCTTCTAGGGAGACCTGCCTCCAGGCCATCGGAGGAACTGTGCCTTCAGGCAGCCAGAGCACCTGGCAGTTTGCTTCTCCCGGGAGCCCTCAGCCAGTGACCACAGGATGCCCGGGAATGGTAGACTGCCTTGGGGTGGATGCTGACACGGACAGACAGCTCTGTCTGTGGGACCAGACTTGGCCAGAAGCCATAGCTGGCTTGGCTCACTCCCCTCCCTTCCCCCCCCACCCAGTGATCCTCCAGGTCACCTGTCCTAGGGTCTGCTGCCAGGAACCTGCCCTGAGAAAGCCGGTCGCAGGGGCTGTCCTGAGAAGCAGACTCTCAGGATGGGCTCTGGAGGTGGACCCCGCACTAGCCAGTCACTGAGGACGGACCCATCTTTGGCAGCACGTGGGGTGCTGAAGGTCCCTGGCAGGCCGTGGGATCGAATGACTATGGCCCTCACCCCAGTGAGTTGGGAGAGGGTGCAAGTGGAAGAATGCACTGGCTGTGACAACAGCTCTGGCGCTGGGGGGACATGAGGAAGGAGTAATTACATGAACGTGGGTCTTATTGCTTTTGCTGGGCCCAGTGTGGAGATGCTCCATCCTGTGGCCCAGGGCAGCACACTGGAGACCAGGCGGAGAGGTGAGAGCAGCGGGACCTCACAGCAGGCTGCACCCAGCCTCAGGAAGTTTCCTGTGTCCACGCCAAGGCCCTGATAGGGAAGGGGCTGGAATCGGAGACTCAGGGGGCGTACCGTCTGGGGGATGCATGTGGGCCGTCTGGGGGGATGCACGTGGGCCGTCTGGGGGATGCATATGGGCCGTCTGGGGGATGCACGTGGGCCATCTGGGGGATGCATGTGGGCTGTCTGGGGGAATGCACATGGGCTTTCTGGGGGGATGCACGTGGCGTGTTAGCCCCGCTGCTTCTGCTCTCTCTGAGGCTGCAGAAGGGCCCTTCCCCTGATCGAGAATAGCAGCCTCCCCGCCTCAAATTCCTGCAATGATGCAGAGCTGCAACCACAGCAGATGCCACGGAAGACAGCACTTGCTCCCTCAAGATCTGCCTGCACCTGCCCTCCTAGCTTCAGAACAACAACCAGGTCAACAGCATGGCCCAGCTCGGGGGGTGCCGGACCTGCTGAGGTGAGACGGGGGTGACTCACTGAGCCAGGAGGACGCGCTGGATAGGGAGGGTCCACTGATGTGAGGGCAGCCTCCACAACTCGGGAAGTAACTCCCCGGCAAGAGTGGCTGCAGTGGGTTCTGATACACTGCACAGTGGCTCTTGCAAACTTGGAAGAAATGATGGCCCAGGTGAAGATTCCAGAAAGGCCTTGGAAGAATGCTGAGAGGGATCGAAATCTCAGAGACGTGGGCAGCTAGAATGGGTCAACAGACTCAAGATTGAAGGCCCAAGGAGTCCTCAGATGACCGTGTTCTTCTGGAGGGCCCAAAGGATGCTCCTTCCAGCGAGATGGTGGGAATGAGCTGGCAAGGGCATGGCCTCATGGAGAAGCCCAGCAGTGTCTGTCTTCCACCAGAGACACAGAACCGAGCCCCTGGTGTGGTGGTGATGGCGGCATGCAGAATAACAAGCCTTAACTCAACTTAGCTGCACTCAACCAGGTGGGAGTAACCAAAGTGACAGAAGGCAGGGCTGGAGGGCAGGCACTTGGACCCTGGGATGCAGATGATGTCCAACAGGTCACGGTGCTCCTGGGGTCAGAGCCGGACAGCCAGAGTCCATGCACACACACATGCACACACGTGTACACACGCACATACAGCAAGATCAAGGGTGCACGAGCAGAAGGCTGCTGTCGGCCACCTTAATGGAAAGTCACAGTTCTTCTCTTCATTTCCAGACCTAATTCAGTTCTCAGACCTAGGACCACCGGCAGAAGGAGCGGCAGGTTCCTGTAAGGAAGGCCGTGCTGGTTCACAGCAAAGGTATGTGGCAGCGATTCCCCAGGCCTCCCAAAGGTGCCCATGACGTTTCTCTGAATACCTGCCCACAGGCCCAAGAGAAATACCCAGATGGTTCGAAGTCTGCTGGATGCAGGGTCTGAGTTAACACTTGGCCCACATCCATCTTACAGGGGACCGAGGGGTCCACTCACCCACCTAGGGGCTATTTTTCCCAAGCTGCTGAATGCACGGTCAAGATGGACGTGTTTGCATCTGACAGAGCTCTCACATTAGTTCCTTGACCTGTGAAGCACCAGCTATTACCATAGCTTTTAACTTTCAACTCTGAGGACACAAGACACTGCTCCCCATTATTTTCCCATTTAATTCATAAGCCTGGCACCAGGCTCGTGGCAGATGACAGGGGACCGTGGCAGATAGAGCCTCGTGGCCGCTCCAAGTGTAGCTGCTGAGCCAGACACAGACTCTTATCAGAACAGGTCAACAGCCTCTGGAGCGAGGCATGCAGCCACTGATCTGACAAACGCATTCTTCTCTCAACACCCACCAACAGGGAGGACTGGATCCAGCCGGCCTTCACCTGAGATGGACAACTGCACGTGCATGGTCTCGCCCAGGGCTCAGTCCAGCCCCCTGTTCTCTGTCACAGACAGTCAGAAAGACTTTGGTCATCTGGACACCTACCCGCACCCACTGTGTTGATGGTGTGACGTCAACTAGATTGGAGGAGCAGGAAGTAGCAAGAACTCTGCATGGCCTCATAACGCACACGTCCAGAGTGTGGAGATAAACCTCGCCAGGGCTCCGGAGCCGCTGCTACTGGTGAGCTTTTTAGGGATCTAGCAATATGGCCACGCTGGGACATCCCCTCCAAGGCCATGATAAGCGACTTTAGCTCGCACCTCTTCCCACTAAGAAAGCAGCACAGACCTTGACAGGCTTCTTTGGGTTTGGGAAGAAGCTGATTTTCCCCCACCCCCAAGGCAATGCCCCTCGGAGGGTTCTACGTGATCCCGTGCATTACTAGGGTCTGCTGCTGGCTGGTGCACCAGGAACCAACCCCAGCCCCGTGTGGGCGCTGAGGACGGCTCTGCCTGCTCCTTCCCCAGTCTTGGTGGTCCCTACACCGTGTGTGCAGCATGTGCAGCTCAACACCTGGATGAAGACTCGAGGGGACTCTGCGGATCCCCCAGCTCTCTCCTCTTCAGTACCTGCCCTGCCACCAGGCCTCCCCCAAGGAGTCCCTGTCCTGGCAGGGTAACTGACCTTAATCATCAAGGAGAGATGAAGCTTCTGTACCAAAACAGACCAGGTAGTTCCCCTAGCTGTATCTTAGTGTTCCCTGGCTTAATGTGGATAATCAGTGGACACATGCACGAACTCCGGCCTGAAAAGGGAACGCAAGCGGATGCTCAGAGCACTGAGGCAGAGGGTCCAGGTCGTGTCAGGAGGTGAACCACTGATAGACCAAGACCAACAGAGATACAGTGTGGGGCAGAGAATGAACCAGAGCGGATGTGGGAGGATGCAGGAAATGCGTGTCAGCTCTGGCCCCAGGGGTGACAGGGCTGTTCATCTCGCCAACCTTCCTCATCTAGGTTTTCCCAAGAAGAGGGGTGCACCAGAAGCCTGAGGAGTGGATGTGGGTGGTGCAAGAGGTGGACCGTGTGCCCTGAGACGTGCAACCACGGCCCTCCACAAAGGGCCCCTTCCTCCCAAGCTGCGTGGTGTGCTGTCCGCAGAAAGCCTTTGCTGCGTCTGTGTGCTGTCCTGGCTCTGGTGTTCTTTTCCTTCTGACGGCCCACACCTGTGACTCTCGGCGACCTGCCTCGGGCTACTGCAGCCCTTTGCTAGCACACAGAACTGGAAAGCCACCGAAATTCACGTCCCTCTGGGGCCTTTAGCTGATGACTGCTGAGTGCGGGAGATGAAAGCCCCACTTCCTAGGAGCACGACTGACCCCTGACCCCTACAGAGTCAGGCTGAAGCTACGCTCCACAGGACTTTGCCTGAAATCCAGTCATTGCTGGCTTCTCCCACTCCGAGTGATTTCTCCCAGGTGTATTTCCTGAATAAATCGTTTGCACACGAATCGTGATCTTAGGGCAGACATCTATGGGGCCTCTATCAATGCCAACATTCACAGCATCAGACCCCAGATATCACCCAACCTGGGGAGGGACAGGGGCCTGGGAATGGAGACCAGGCTCCAACCTCCAACTTTGTCTCAAATAGAGACAGAGTTGCTGAGTGACTCAGACACGATTCCCAAAGCTCTCAGGGTTCACTGGAAGTGCAAGGGACCCAGAGTGACCAAATAATGGAAAAAGAAGAACACAGCTAGCGGACTCACACTGCCTGGTTCCAAAACTTCCTACAAAGCTGCAGTCATCAAGACGGCGTGGTGCTGGCACAAAGACAGAGAGGTCCACGGAACAGAATTGTGAGGCCAGGAAGAAACCTCATGTTTTGGTCAATTAATGTTTTAAAATGATGCCAAGCAATTCGATGGGAAAAGAAATCTTTTCAACAAACAGCACTCAGACAACTGGATAGCCACACGCAGAAGAATGAAGGTGGGCCCCACCTGACACTGTCCATAAAAGTTAACTCGAAGTAGATCCTAGACCTGAATGTAAGAGAAAACCATACAATACTTGGAAGAAAACGTGGGAGCAAATATTTGTGACCTCAGGTCAGGCAATGGTTTCTTAGATAAGACACTAAAACCACAAATGAAGAGAGAATAAGTTGACATGTTGGGCTTCATCAAAATCAAAAACTGCTGCAAATGATACCACCCAGAGCAAAAAAAGAAAACGCACAGATAGAAGAAATATTTAAAACCATCTCTCTGATAAGGCACTTGTGTCCAGAATATGCAGATAACTCTTATCAATCAACAATAAAAAGACAAATAAGGAATCTGGTTTCAGTGCTGACACTTAAGAACCTGGAGGTCATCACTCCCACTCACTCTCACAAGAAGCTGAACAAACTGGAAATCAAGGACAGCACCCACCTGCAATTCCCCCTCTGGACACCAGGGGCCGCCACCAGCAGTCCCAGGACTGGGGGAAGATGGGAGCCCACTCTCCAGGTCCTTTGCTTCCTGAGAAATCAAGGCACCCAGGGGATGGTCCCCAACCCTTGGCCCTACACTGTGGTGAGGAGGGGACTGACGCCCATCTTCTGCCCAGACCCTGTGCCCGCGAGCAACAGAAGGCCCGCCAGGTGTGAGGAGTTTGCACAGGGGCTGGGGGCCTGAGGGGCACCCCAGGGCATTCTCCACTGGCTGGGCTGGGTCCAGGGGCAGGAAGACCACTGACCACATTCAGTGTCACCACTGTGCCCCCTGCCATCAGACCTGCATCCCTAGGTGCTTTGCTGAACACCAGCCATACCCTGGCACAGGTTCAGTCCTGACCCCACACATGCTCACACTCCCCAGGAAGACCCCTACCCCCTCCAGAGAGGCTGCATGACCTGGGGCAGGGGGGGAGCTGTTATGGGTTACACCATGTCCCCCCAAAGTGAAGCCCTAACCCCACCACCTCTGATATGAAATAAAGGCACTGCGGATGTGCAATGAGTGACACTGGGGGAGGTCATCCTGGAGTAGGGTGGGTCCTTTCCAGTGACTGGCGTCCTTTGAAGAAGAGGAGTCACAGACACATGCAGGGAGAGTCCATGTGACAAAGGAGGCAGAGACTGGTATGACGCATCCACAAGCCCAGGAACGCCAAGGACGGCAGCCACCACCAGCAGCCAGAAGAGGCAGGCGGGGCTTCCCCAGGCTCCCGATGGTCCCCCGCCCACCCACTTCAGAGAAGGATGCCAGAGGCTCAGAGAAGCTGCAGGAGAGGCACTGGGCTGGGAGGCAGGAGAAAGGTTTAGGGACTTCTCGGGACCTCAGGACAACCATCTGCCGGACTTTCAGGGTGTGCTCCCTACAGGAGCCTGGCAGGACGCTGTGAGGTGGTGGAGAGGACCCCACACCCGTGCCCGACAGGGACACCCCCCACCCCCAGCACTCACAGACTGGGAGCTGTCCCTGCTGCTGTCCCGGGACCTGTTCTTGGCCAGCCGCTTCTTCTTCTTGTGCAGGGGCCTCGACTCCAGGATCATCTCCTCCAGCTCGAAGGTGGGGTCGCAGTGCAGGCGGCCTTTCTGTGGAGGGACAGGGTGCTGAGCCTGGCTGTGGGTTCTGCCCACGCTGCCCTGGGGCCACCGCCCAGGCCACCCAGCAGGCTTACGTTGGGCACGAAGCCTGGCTCCACTTTCTTTTCACTCAGGTCGTCCCACAGCACGCCGGCCAGCGACGGGGCCGCCTGCATGTCCTGAAGGCTGGACACACGGTGCTTGGGGTCCACAGTGAGGAGCTGAAACAAAGCCCACATCAGACGGCCCCAGGGCCCAGCACGTGCCCCACGTGAAGAGCTGGCCGCCTGCCCCGGCCAGGGCACCCTGTGGAGGGGTCGCCAGAAGGCCTGAGGTTCAGAAATGCAGGATCTCAAGGGTCGGGCAAGGAAAGGCAGCCCGGATTTTAAATCAGCCAGTGCAGTAACGCAGCCAAGGGGACACGTTGGTCTGAGTGGCCCAGCCAAGCCCCTGGAGCCCGAGGACAAAAGAAAGCATCTGGGGTCTGCAGGGACATTCTGCCCAGAGTCCCCAGCAGGCGGCAGCCTCAGCCTGGCTAACTGCAGGGCTGGCGAGAGGACAGCAACCAACGCGTCACAGCCCTGATGAAGCCCCAGGGCGGCCGGGGCTGGGCATCTTCCCACATGTGGTCTTCTTTCTGGGGGCAACGCCGCAGACCCCAGCTGAGTCTTCCCCCAGCGAGGAGCTTGGCGCACGGATCATCCCACTCCCCACTCAGGCCTCTGGGGGCCAAGGTCGCCCTTGTGCGCCTCCTGGGCAGCTGTGGACACAGCTTCATGGGGAGAAAGCTGGGTTAAGAGGCTCTCTCAGGCTGGGAGAGACCTCTAGCTGCTTGGCCAAAATTCCAGGGTCAAAGGTCTCCGGCAGGAGGCAGGACCTGCCCAGGAGGACCCTGTGGGCCACGAGACAGGAGCCGGGAGGCATGCCTCGCATGTCCAGCTCGCCCTCCCACACCTGATGCTAACCTGGGCTCCATGCACCAGTGTGTTTAAAGTGTGGCTGTCCAGGTGGGGAGCTGTGGGGGCCAGCCAAGGAGCAACCCCCAGCCCAGCCCCAGACCCCAGAGGCAGGTACTCTGAGGGCAACCCCACGGCCCCGAGTCCCTACCAGGCTGAGGTCGCCTGGGCTGCTGCAGACACGCACTCAGGCCATGGGAGGAGCAAGGGGGTGCCAAGGTCTTCTCTGCTTGCTCCCGGGGGGTTGTGGCCAGGCCTCAGGCAGCGGGCAGTGAATGCCCATCTCCAGCAGGGGCAGAGGATGCCAGGGCACAGCATGGACCCGGCACCCAGCCCTGCACACACCCTCCCTCCAACATGCATGACACGGTGACCTGGCATAGGGTTTGCTTCTTTGCACCTCAGTTTGGGCATCTGTGAAATGGGGTGATAACCAGTGTCCTGGAACCAGGTTGTGAGGGTTAAATTAGATTAGGGTGCACGCGATTCAGCTTACAGCTGGTGCCCACAGGCCAAGCCACTGCATGAGGACAGGAAGGTGCCACTGGACCAGGCTGGAGCCCGGCTGGCGAGGGACACAGTCACACAGAATGCAAGACCCAGATGCCTCCCCCAGACTAGGGTCTCCACATCGCCCACCGCTGGGACAGGATGCTCAGCCCAGCCTCATGTGCCTGGCTGGCCGTTTGCTCCAGGAGGATGGCTCACCTTCCGCAGCAGAGCCACCATCTCCTTGGACCAGGTGGGGACATACTGCACGCTCATTGTGCTGAACAGCTGCACCAGGCTCTCCACTGCGTTGCTCGAGTGGATGTCGTAGGGCCTCTGGGGCAGGGGAGGCAGCGCTGCACCAGCTGCCTTGCCCCTGTCCCCAACCCCTGCCCTGAGGCACCTGAGGCAGCACCCCCCCCCCCCCCCCCCCCCCCCCCCCTCCCCCCCCCCCCCCCACAGCAGGCACAGCTCTGAGCTTGGCAAGGCCTGGGCCTGGGCTGCAGCTGCACCGCGGCCAGGGAACTGGCCAGAAGAGGCTGCGGATCCAGTGGGAAGGAAGCACATCTCCCCCAGAGGCCTGGGCCCGGGCGGATCAGCCTCCGAGGGCCAGGAGGGGCCTTCTTCAAGGGCAGGGTCCCATGGGGTGGCTGAGGGTGCAGTGCTCTCATCAGGGGATGGGAAGGTCAGTGGGTGACTTGACGAGGACCCCAGCCTCCCAGACTCCAGGGCTGGCCCAGCTGTGGCCACAGGGGTGAGAGCATGGGACACTGGAGGCAAGTCCCCAGGAGGCAGCCCTGCTGGGCAGCTCTCCACCCTGTGCACCTCCAGAGGCCAGCGCACAGGCCCAGCTACAGCCCCCAGGAAATCCATAGTGACTTCCCTCCTTCACTCGCTCAGGCACTGCCCGTCCACTCAGACGCTCCGCTAAAGGGGCATGTCCTTGCTGATGGACAGCACAAACATCCCTGAGCACACGGGGGTGGGGGACAGCCTCATCTCTCCTCAGGGCACTCAGGCCATCCCTGGGGGACACAGCCAGCTTGGGGTCTGGGGGCCAAGCCTGCGGACCGCAGGAGCTCCATACCCATCCGCGCAGCAGCTCATAGGCCATCACCCCAACTGACCACCAGTCCACCTCGAAGGAGTAGCCGGTCCCACCGTTGACAAAGGACTGGAAGATCTCCGGAGCTTTCCAGAAAGAGAAGGAACAGATGAGCACCCCTGACCCACAGGCCAGAGGGCTGGACCTCAGCTGGGCCCCGAGACCAGGCTGGCACCAGGGCTGGACGGGGAAGCCACCCTCAGGGGTTGATCCTTGCCCACTGACCACCTGGTTCAAATCCAGGTCCCACAGCCTGATACTGGTAGTGGGTTTTCTCACTGTCATACCCATAACTCTCACGGACATCACCTAGATTCTTCCATAGGGATCGGATGTGGCTGTGCTTAGCCTCATCCCGACACCTACTGCTGTGTGCCTTTAGGGAAGTAACCTGACCCCACCAGCCACAGGCTCAGCGTGGGAGACCAGCCAGCAGCTGGCAAGGTGGGTGCGAGGGTGGGCGAGGCCACGGCTCACCCATGTAGGGCTTGGTCCCGGCTAGCGCAGTTGCCCTCTCTCCATCCTTTATGATGGTGGCGATGTTGAAGTCGGTCAGGTGCGCGTGTCCTGCAAGAAGAGAGGACAGCGTGACTGTCCCACAGACCAGAGGCGTGTCCCACAGCCGGGGCACATGGCCCACGGCCCCGGCCTCACACGGCCCCACTCACCTTGCTCATCCAGCAGAATGTTGTCAGGCTTAACGTCTCTGTAGGAAGAGCAGACAGTGGGGAGATGAGCCCAGAAGTCCTTCCCGCTCCTGCCCCGTAATCCAAGGCAGGGCTAGGGGCTCCCACGAGGGCCCCTCCCCACCCGAGGCAGAGGCCCCAGAGGCCTGACGTGGGCCTTGGGAGGATGCCAGGGCCTCAGGCCCCCTCCCCACCTGGCAACATTCTGATAGAGCTGGGCAAAAGCAGCCATTCCTGTCCTTGTCGGGGGCCACAGACACACAGCAGAGAACGTTCTGCACTAGACACAGAGGGGAGCTGAAGCCCCCATAAGACAAAAGCAGAGCCCCCTTGCCCAGACCCTCCAGGCCAGCCCCTCTCCCAGAGCCCCGGGTTGCACAGCACTGTGGATCCAGCTCTGCGCCTTCCACCCATTCGCCCCAGGCCTCGCCCGGCTTCCAGGCGTCAGTAAGCGATGGCGCCTGAATCACGACCAGATAACAGAACCCCCAGGGCAGAAACGCAGAAAGCACGTCTATTTGACTTTATAATAAACCAATAGGTTTTTTGGTTTTGTTCTGTGGACACAGCTTTATCTTCCTAATTTCATCTGCTTTCAGCTCATATTAAGATTAGTTTGAATTCCTCAGGGACTTGGCAAATGGGCAAACGGGCGTCTGCTAGATGGCGGCAGGGATCCTGCAGTTGAGCAGACCAAGTGAAGGCCACCCAGATGCGGCCAGGCCCCGGGCTCTCAGAGAGCCAACAGCCCTCTGCGCCCAACCTCAGCTGCAGGTGCTCAGACAAGATCCTCCCCAGGTGGCCAGCAGGTGAGCAGCTGTGGGGCCGACCTTGGAGTCAGGCACTGCTTGGCCCAGATGCCACGTCTGGGGGCAGGTCTGCAGCCAAGGGCGGGGCAGAGCATGCAGGAGTCTGTCCAGGTTCTGCTGGAGTGTGGCCACACACAGGTGGACTGACCCAAGGCTGCTGCCGGCCCCACCAGGCCTAGGTAGGCACCCCACCTCGTCAGGTGTGCACACACCTGTGGATGATGTGCTGACTGCGCAGGTAGTCGAGGGCCAGTGCCATCTCACAGATGTACAGCCTCACCGTGTCCTCGGAGAACTGCACGTTCTGTTGCAGGTGGTAGCGCAGGTCCCCGCCCAGAAGCAGGTCCACTACCATAAACATGTCCTCCTCATCCTGGAAGGAGTACCTGTGGGAGCCGAGGGAGAACCTGGCACATGCACGGCTGGGGAGCCAGAGCCATGGCTCCTGCTGCACCTAATGAGGCCCCACCCCCACCCCTACTGGGCACTCCCCAGGAGCATGGTCCTGCCCAGAACGCTGAGTCTGCCTTGGCTCAGGAGCTGCTCTGAGCCAAGACCCTCAGGAAAGACAGAGCGGCCCGTCCTGATGGGAGGTGGCCCAGCTGGGGGCAGAAAGCCCACGTGACCAATGGGGAGTGGAACATGTCCCATCTCTGGGCCCTTCTGCTGCTGCCCTGGCTTCCTCTTCTCTAAAGGGGTGGGGAGGGTAAAAAGATCTGCTTGGAGGGTTGCTCAAGAAGAAAGTGAGACAGAGAGTGGAATGCTCAGCCAGTGCTGAGCAAGGGGCTGGCTTCTAACAACCAGCAGCCACGGTGATGGTGACAGTGGGGACGGTGGTGATGGTGATGATGAAGAGGATGCTGATGATGACGGTGATGGGGGTGGTGATGACGATGATGGTGGTGATGGTGATGATGACGGTGACGGTGGTGGTGATAGGGGTAATGGTGATGATGATGCTAAAGAAGACGATAGTGACGATGATGAAGATGGTGGCAGTAACAAAATAACAGTTTAAGGACCTCCTTCCACTTTATAATTTCTTTTGTGAGCTCTCAGAGGTAACTCTTATTGATAATCAACTGATTCTTTCAAGAATAAAGTTAGAAAAAAATTCATTTTTCATGTGATGTCCCACTCCCTGCCCACCAGAAGCCCCCCTGTCCTCATTCTCAGGGGCAGGTGGCCTGGGGTGGGTGGTGTAGATTGAGCAAACAGGCCCTGTGCAAACTCTCCCCCACTGGCTCTAGCGCCAGAAACTCCATGGGTCACAGGCCTCCCTTGTGGGAAAGCTGGGCTTCCTGCAGGCTGGGAGACGCGCATTACGCAGTGTGCTCAGACACCTGGATGGCTGCCAGCCCCGGGGACCACAAGGTGAGTGGACGGGAGGGGAGGCAGGGGCTGTGGGTGCCAGAGGCAGGAGAGGAGGGAGCACCAGGGAGGCACCCAGGGGCAGGAGAGGGTGGCACCCTCCACAGCTCCGGCGGGGGTCCAGCCTGGTCTCTGCCCCGAGGGGCGGGCTCACCAGAGGTTCACGAGGAAGACGTGCTCGATCTCCTGCAGGATCTCCAGCTCCCGGAACACGTTGCGGACCTCGTCCCGCTCGATGCACTGCTGCTTGTTCATGTACTTCATGGCGTACATCTTCTCCGTGTCCCGCTTCTGCACGATACACACCTGGAGGGCAGAGCGAGCTTCAGCACGGACGCCTGCGGACAGAGCGACCTCGCCACCCGCCTCCCCACGTGGGCCGTGGCAGACACAACTTTCAAATGACCAGACAAGTCTCCTGCGCACAGGCATCTGACGACAGGAGGCAGGACTCAGCCCAGGAGCACAGCGGGGCGGGGGCTACAGGCCATGCTGGTGCCTGCACCCCCTCATCAGCCGTGACCTGGGCACCCCCTTCCCAGGGCTCAGACAGCAACTGGACTGGAGGGTTGTTGGGGAATGAAGCAGAGGACCCCCTTAGCCAGAGCCTTTCACCCAGGAAGCCCCCAGGAATGAGAGCAGCTATTCTCATCAACTACAGGGCCACCATCCCCATTGCAACGGCGACGCTCCTGTGATGACAGGGTCTCTGCACAGCTCTGAAACCCCAATCCCACTGAGATTGAAGTGCAATGCCAATTAGCAATGTCAACACGGCTGACAGCTCGCTAATTGCTTGGCAGAGAAGATCAGGGTGAGAAGAGAGTGAGAAGTGGAGACCCAGGAGAGCCTCAGGCTAGGGCGGCCAAGGAGCATCAATCAAATGTGAGGACCACGGTCTCCAAAGGGAGCCAGGATTAATGCCCAAAATCAGGGCTGCAGAGCCGGTGCCACGCCCCCCATGCAAGCATGGAGAGATGACCCAGGGCCATTCCTGAGGGTCCCCACAGCCTTCGGTCTCCAGGACTTCAAGGAGCAGGAGCCAGGGGGCCCTGTAGAAAGTGGAAGATTCTGGAACTCAAGGTGGGCAGGAAACTGTCCTGGGGGCCTCACCCAAAGACAGGTGGCCTGGAACTGACCAGACGTTTCAACAGTCGCCAGCCCCAGGCCAAACCTGCAGATCCAACCCATTGGTGAAACCCTCGTCCCCTCACCAGGAACAAATCCTAAGAAACGAAAGTGTGTTTTTCTGAAGATATTCATCACAGCTGAACAAACTGTTTATGACAAACCTTTACACAGCCTAATGGACGTGGGCAGGTAAGCCAATGAAACAGCACACAGCCTCTGAATGATATTTATAAATACTTTTAACGACAATTTGTATAATGCCAAGCAAAGCTGTAAAGCCACACTATTTAACATAAACAACGTGCAGATGACAGACCCATTTCGGGCAGACACTCCAGTTGAGCACAGGAGGGGGCACTGAAGGCGGCCATGCTTGGGGGACGGCAGCGCGGGAGCACCTTCCCCTCACTTCAGCTTCTGAAACGTTATGGGGGGGTGTTGTCTGGAGACAGACGCTGACGTCATACCCCAGATCCAGTCCTACGCAGTGGCGGTGAGGCAGCCCGGTGACTGCTGGTGTCGGGGGTTCTGGATGCAGAGGCTGAGCAGCTGCTCTCAGCTCAGCTCCTGACTGTGCCCCCATCATCCGGGTCCAGCGAGCTCCCTGATGCTCCACTGCGATTCCCAAGGTGACACCACGCACACTACCACCTTGGGCATAGTCTACCCCGCGAGCCCGGGAGAGGCACAGCTCGCAGGGTGGTGCCCACAGCATGGAGGGCCACCTGGCCATGGCTGAGCTTCCACACACCTCTGAGCCCCCCTGGCCTCAACCTCGAACACTCCCAGGGGCACAAACCCAACCAGGGGCCTGTGCAGGCCACCAAGACCCCCGTGAAGCCTTCCCTAAAACTGCCTCTGCCTGGGCCAACAGCCCAGAAAGATCTCAGTCCAGGGACACAGGGGCTGGCCTTAGACCTGCCTCCCTTCATGCCTCCAGAGACCCCCAGATGGCCTCAGGGCTGCAAGAGTCAAGGCCCCTCCCTGCCGCCCTGCAAGGACCGAGGCCGGGAGCATTCAAGCGGGAGAAAGCACACAGCACTGCCAGCAGCTGGGCACATGCAGAGGGGACAGCCCCATCCCTGGGGCTGGGCGGAGTGGGACCTCGACCACTGTCCTGCCCTGTCCTTGTCACCAAGGCCCTCCCCACGCAGATAAAGGTACGGAGCAGCTCCTGTCTTCCTTGACCCTCCCCCAAGTGGAACGGGGTGGGAGCCAGCAACTCCCCAAGAGGAGCATAAACAGTTCTGAAAGTATCGTCCTCAACTGGGTTTGGGCCAGAGCTCCCTTGGAGGGGAGGGGCCCCGGGCTCCTCTGAGGGACATCACACATCGCACATCACACATGCGAGACCCCTGCTGACCGGGACGAGGCAGGGCGCCGGGCTGGGGCTGAGAAGCCCACCAGAGATGCCCCCTCACACCCCAAAGATCCCCTAGATTCCACCCATCAGCCCGGTGCTGGCTGCTGAGGCCACACACAGTGGACAGATCGCTGTCAAGGGCCCTTCAGGTGCCCGAGGGCAGCTCTGATGCCCCCTTCCACGGCTTCTCTCCGCAGCCAGAGGGCCCCATGTCCCCAGGCCCGTCCTCCCTCCTTGGGGGCCTGGCCTCTCCTCACTGGCCATCCAGTGGCCTCTGAACTTGGCTGACCCTCCGTTTCCCCACCTGCTAAACTCGGACACTACACTGCCTCTGGAGCTCGTGAGAAGTCAACGCGACATGATGGCTAAGAACGCTTTGCAAAGTGCTCACGGTCAGGGTCAAGTCCAGGCCTCGTGCTTACGTGCTCACCGAGGGCTCTGTACCCTACTGTGGTCAGCTGAACGATGGCCCCCAAGGATGTCCCCAGACCCTGTGAACATGTTACCTTATGGGGAGAGTACCCTAGATTGTCCCTGTGGGCCCTAAACGTCATCACAGGGTCCTTACGAGGGGGAGGGAGGCTGAGGACAGAAGAAGTTGTCTTGGTCAGCTCAGGCAGCCATCACTAAAGACCACAGACTGGCGGCTTAAACGACAGTCATTTATTTCTCACAGTTCTGGAGGCTGGAAGTCAGAGATCAAGGTGCCGGCCCCTTCGGTTCTTGGTGAGGGCCCCTCTTCCTGGCTTGCAGATGGCGCCTTCTCGCTGTGCCCTCACATGGCCTTTCCTCGGTGGTGCACGTAGAGAGCTCTGGCCTCTCCCCTTCTTCCAAGGACGCGACCCACATCATGGGGACACCACCCTCATGACCTTATCTAAACCTAATGGCTCCCAACGGCCCCACTTCCAAACGTCATCATATTGGGGGTTAGGCTTCAGCGTGGGAATCTTGGGAAGACACAACTCAGTCCATGGGAGAGGAAATGTGACAGCTGGAGGGACGTGCTACACTGCTGGCTCTGAAGACGAGGAGGAGGCAAGAGCTGGGAGCGTGCAGCTCTAGAAGCTGGGAGGGGCAGGGACGGACTGTCCCCTGGAGCCCCCAAAGGGAGCACCGCCAGCCGACACCCGGTTTCCGCCCAGGTAAACTGATTCCGGATCTCTGGCCTCCAGAACTGGAAGACAATAAACGTGTGTTGTTTAAGCCACCCAGTTTGTGGTCACGTCACAGCAGCCACAGGAAACGAATGCAGTGACCCACTGTCCTGGGTGCTGTGAGGGACCGGAGAGGAGCGGTCCACGTCACTGGACAGTGTCGTCCACCTCTGCTACGAGACACTCACTTTCCAAGCTGTCTGGACTGCTCTGGGCTGTCATGGGCAGCCTCTCGCAGAGGGTTGCAGGCCTTGTTGGACGGAGACAGGGCAGAGGCATCCAGAAGACAAGCCAGGGCAGGGGGGCACACCAAGGGGTCCCTAAAGAGCCCTCCCACCCACAAGGCCACAAAGTTTGGAGCAATGAGCCTTCCTGACTCTTCCTCTCACTTCAGCAAAATGGCCCCAAAGCTGCCGGTGGGATAGCTGCAGCGCTGTCCCAGGCTGGCTGCCTCAGGCGTGGGGACGCGCACCCAGAGCCCACCAACTTGCCCTAGGACAGAAGGGCTCCACGTGCACCAGGCCTCCAGTCTGAGGACCCAGACATGAGACTGAGAAAGAGGAGAAGACAGAGATCCCGGCTCCAGGCAACTTCAAACTGTGTTTGATAAAGTGCAGTTACACCAATTAAAACCCAAAACACCTGCTTGTCACATCTGCTCTCGAAACGCTCTTTCTCAGGATCTTTGAGCCTGTGTTGGGGGGTTGGCTGGAGTTCTCTTCTCCCCATTTGGCCAAAGCTCCAAGGGGCCAGGGAGGGGGCTGCCAGCAAGGCCCCAGAGGGACAGGTGGGCTGCCCCACAGAGCTCCTGGCCAAGGTCAGAGAGACAAGCTTAGAGCTTTGTAAATGCCTTGACCTCCACCCACAAAGCCGCATTCTGTGGCTCTCAGCCTGGCGGAGTCCCCGGGACTGTGAAGACCTGTGCTTGCCCCTGAGCCTGGCTGTCCAAGCTCCTCCATGGGGAAAGCAACAGGCAAGAACCACCCTCCCAGCTGCGAGGAAGGGGCCTGCGAGCTGTTTAAAGAGCAAACTCCAGCCCCTGCTCCCACTCTCATGGCCTGGAGCTGGGAAACCCGGCTGACACAGGCGCCACATTTGCAGACTGTCCACCTGGGTATTAAATGGGCCTGCTATTTAGGCGTCAGCCAGAAACACAAGCAAAATTCTGTAATTGCTGAAATGCAAGGCCATGGGGTCCCAGAAAGGCCTCTGCAGAAACAACGCATCCCAGAATATAATTAAATCCTGCTCCTAATGACAGAGTTGGCTCCTGGTCACATGGAACAGACACAAGTGCCAAGCCCCTCCCCCCCATTTCCAGGGAACGCTGCCCTCTGGGGGAGAGTGCTGACTTTCAACGGGTCGTGGGTCCAGCCAGGGAGGCACCTTCAATGTCAAGGGGAAATCAAGGCAGCCACAACCGGAGTGACTCGGCCTGAGTCTTGCAGCCCTGGCTGCTGGACTGTCCAGGAGTCAGTGAAATTGTGAAAGAGGAGATCTTCTAATGTGTCAGGAGGAGCTACGCCAACCGCGTGGCTTGACGATGGAAAGGGTGGGCTGTCTCTGCGGCAGGAGGTCTACGGGTCCAGCCCTCAGAGGAAGCTCTTGGGTTTGAACTTGGCTTGCCCAGCAGATGAGAAAGGCCCATGTGCCAA